CTTAGACGTTTCTTTCGTCTTTCGGCAATCTTTCGTGTCGTGGGTATTGGTCTTGCATATGGAGCACCATTTGTTCCCCTTCACTCGGCATTGTGATTTTTGTGTCCCTTTCTTCCACAATTGAAGCAATTTCCGTCAGATTTTGGTTTCACATACATAACGTTGTCACCTACCTCAGTGTTGTGACAATGGTTTGATATTTTCTTAATGACTACGTAACGAGTTTTGAAATTACGTAAATCTCATTTATCTTTCCCTTTGAACTTTTACGGTAGCAAAGACGTCGTACGTGCTTGGCAGATCCTTTAAAACCATTGCAATGAGTAGTGCATCACTTATTATCTCCTCGGCTTCTCTTAAGGCTGTTGCCGATCGTTCCGCTCGCAATATATTATCTGTGACAGTCTCGTCGTCACTTTTCTACAGCGAAGTGAGTTCCGTGTAAAAAGCGATGATGCGAGGTTTTTCTCTGCCTTGATAGTGATGTCTGAGGATTTCTAAAGCTCTCCGTCCATTGTCTTTCGCCTCCCGAATCACAAGAGACAAACGTCTGTCCACCAGACATTGGACCAACTTTGCAAAAGCGTCAGCCAGTTTTGAAGGTGCTGGTTCTTCTCTCTCACTTGCTGATTACATAAATACGTCGTACAGTTTTTTGAACATGCATATAGTCCAAGAATTTTACTTCCCATAACACGTATTTGCTTTCGCTTCCATCGAAAGGCAAACTTCTCCTGGGCCCATAACCTGTTGAGTTGGAGCAAACGACCCCATGGTGTTAAGCTCAAATGCCCGACGGTCATTCAAACTTCTAGAGAGTCCTTTGCCTACAGAACACTCTGCTTCATATATATTTCCATTGTACAGCTGACTAAGTAGTCATTTTATTCAAGTAGACTGCCTGCACAAACTTTGTGTGTCAGTTACACAAATTGTTAAACACCTTCCTAAGTGATAATATAACTCAGTACCTCCACTTTCATTCCAACATGCAGTGGCGTCGCTAAATTGGGGCCTGGAAAGGGGGCATGTGCCCCTCTAAAAATTGGCTGTGCCCCCCAAGTGCCCCCATTAGAATTTTTATAAGAGTCGTCATATGCATCATTCGAAATTGAAAAAGAAACACATGGCATTAATGTAGCTCTTACAGAATTCAAACTTTACTGTAAAGGGAAGCATTATATTAGCTGTGCAGACTAGTTTGCGTCGCATTTACCCTTTCTTGGTTGCTGGCCGAGTGGTGAAGATTTTAATTTCTTAAAAATAATAAAAAAAAAACAATAATTTTAGAATAATTCAAGTGCCTATTGGGCAAGGAAGAACAAGTAATATTGTGATGCATGTCATGAACGACATTACACCATATCATAGAACTTTTATGAGATCGTGGACAAGTATACTCGTAGACTCAAAACTTGTAGACACAAAAATACAAATATAGCAATGACTAAGAGTAAGGCTCATGAAAATACTGCAATTCTGGGAGTATTATAATATGAAAACATTTCATTAAAATCAATAATCAATCTACGTAACGTTATAACACGAAGAATGTCCAATTTCGCCAGGGTTAAACTGGGAAGTTAAAAATTGAAACTATTCATGTTGTGATAAATATTTCAAAAATTTCCAAGTGCAGAAGCAATTTTTAATGCCATTTCACTAGCGACTGACGTGGTACAAATTTTGCCCCTTGCAAAATCCTGGCGACGCCACTACGAAAATGTAGCCAAATACCCAAATGCAGCAAAACTAAAATGTCCTATTGCGTTGTTTTCAGCTGCCATCCTCTATATTCATTTACACGTACAAGTAAAACTGTAACATTACGTAGCTATGTTTGATCTTCAACAATTTTAGTTGTCTATAAACTCTAATTAAAGAACAAAATTTATGTTGATATTAATAATTTTATGACCCCTAGATGCAGTCAAGAGAAGAAATTAATAACTTCTACATGGAGAAAATACTTACAGATGTTGTTACGAAGAAACTTGCTGATTTATTTATCCAAGAATGGAACATTAATTACAAAAACTCCCACGGAGAATGGGAAAATACAAACGTTAGTGGTCAGAAATTGCTCAATATTGAAAAAACAAAAAAGAAACCTCATGACAAACATATTATGTCAAAATTTCAAGAGGGTGACACCAGTAAGTGGGATTGTACAACACTATTTGCAGCAATACTGTATTCCAAGTCAATTGGAACAAAAATTGACCCAAAAGTTAGAGCTGCCGTTGATGCACTTCGTATTGTGAGAAACAAATTTACCCATGATAATCCAGGAAGAGTATCTAATACCAAATTTGACAAAATGCTTTGTGATATTGAAAAGTCATTTAAAGATCTACGATTTTCATTCAATGAAATTAATGAAATAAAATGTCAACGAAACAAATTTAATCCTTTTCAAGTACTTCCTTGCAAACCAAATCACGATGTGGTTAAACGTACAGAGTTACTTAATCAAATAACAGCAGATCTCAATAACTTGCGCAATACTAACAATAATGAACTAACATATTACTATATTTCTGGTAATCCTGGCAGTGGTAAATCTGAATTAGCCAGACAAGTTTGTGAAGAAATGTTTAAGTCGGTTGACTGGGAAAAGAATACGACATTTGTCATGACACTCGAAGGAAATGATGCAGAATCCCTTTTAAAAACTTATACTGAACTTTGTCAACGCTTTAGCAATAATAAAACTGTCATTGAAAATATTCTGAAAGAAGCAAAAAGCAGCGAAGACAAAATTAAACATTTTCAATTCTTGCTGACACAACAAGTGAAATCTTGGCAAACGTGGTGGATTGTTGTAGATAACGTGGTTGAACTTCATAAAATTTATCCATTATTACCTCAAGTTGGTGATCATAGCTGGAAAAATGGTCAAATTATTGTAACTGTCCAAAATACAGATGCTATACCACCAGATGGAAATCTAAATAAACACATTTCAGTTAGTCATGGTATGAACGATGAAGAATGTCGAGAACTTCTATCTGTCTTTTCTGATATTCATAATAAAGATCAAAAATATTTAAAGGATTTATCAGACAAATTAAATCGTCAACCATTGTTCCTGGCAAATGCTGCTTCCTACGTAGGTAGAGTAAAAAGTGTAATTCCGACATTCACGTGGGAGCAATATTTTGATAAGCTGAATGAAGGAGAGCGACAGAATATGGATGCCAATTTTCAAAAGATAAACACATCTTACTTAGGAATGAAAACTGTTATGTTAGCAGTACAAAAAAATGCCGAAGAATCCATCTTGTTGGAACATGTTTTTAAACTTTTCTCAATAATATCTTTCGATCCCTTACCACAAGATGTTATAATACAATTTATTAAAAGCATTGATCCAAAAATATCTGCAGAAGATATCTGTCTTGAATTAAAGCATTGCTCTTTATTCCTTCAAACGGAAAACAAAGACATCCGCCTACACAGCGTTGTACACGAAGCCATCATAAATTATTCATCGCAGACCTTTGGCTGTAAACAAAACGAAAATAATTCCTCTGCAGTTGATCTTGCCTGTCAAGTTGCTTTGGCACTAAATCATTTTAAAGGCAGAGAAGATGAAATCAAAATAATTCCACATCTAATTAAATTCATTAAATTCGAATCAAATTCACCATTTCGACATTTCCTGAATAAGTTGATCGATTTAAAATCATCAAAACAAAAACTTGATGAAAGAAATTGGAAATTTGCCAAATACTTTGTAGATGTTTTGGAAAGATTTTGTAACTATGAACTTGCAACTGAAGTACTTTATGAAATAAAAGAAATTCAAACTAAAGTGTTAGGTGTTGATCATATTGATGTTTCCTATTCGTACAACGAGCTGGGATTATTGCTGTGGAAGAAGGGAGAATATAAAAATGCTGAAGATTTTTATGAACAAGCGATACAAATTCAAACGAAAGCATTTGGATCAGACCATGTTAATATTGCGCCAACGTACACAAATATCGGTTCGGTTTACAATGATATGGGAGAATACGAAAAAGCAAAACATTTTTTTGAACGAGCGATGGAAATTCAAACAAAAGCATTTGGACCTGACCATGTTAATATTGCGACAACGTACAACAATCTGGGTTCGGTTTACGAAAATATGGGGGAGTACGAAAAAGCAAAAGATTTTTATGAACGAGCGATGAAAATTGAAACGAAAGCATATGGACCTGACAATGTTAATATTGCGATAAGGTACAACAATCTGGGTTCGGTTTACGATAAAATGGGAAAATATGAAAAAGCAAAAGATTTTTATGAACGAGCGATAGAAATTGACACGAAAACATTTGGACCTGACTATGTTTATATTGCGAAATGGTACAACAATCTGGGTTTGGTTTACAGTAAAATGGGAGAGTACGAAAAAGCAAAAGTTTTTTGTGAACGAGCGAAAGAAATTGAAACAAAAGCATTTGGACCTAACCATGTTAATATTGTGACAACGTACAATAATCTGGGTTTTGTTTATGATAATATGGGAGAGTACGAAAAAGGAAAAGATTTTTTTGAACGAGCGATGGAAATTCAAATGAAAGCATTTGGACCTGACTGTGTTAATATTGCGACAACGTACAACAATCTGGGTTTTGTTTACGTTAAAATGGGAGAGTACGAAAACGCAAAAGATTTTTATGAACGAGCGATAGGAATTCAAACGAAAACATTTGGACATAACCATTTTAATATTGCGACAACGTACAGCAATCTGGGTTCGGTTCACCATAAAATGGGAGAGTACGAAAAAGCAATAGATTTTTATGAACTAGCGATGAAAATTCAAACGAAAGCATTTGGACCCGACCATGTTAATATTGCGACAACGTACAACAATCTGGGTTTGCTTTACAGTAAAATGAGAAGGTACGAAAAAGCAATAAATTTTTATGAACGAGCGATGAAAATTAAAACAAAAACATTTGGACCTGACCATGTTAATATTGCGACAACGTACAACAATCTGGGTTCGGTTTACGAAAATATGGGAGAGTACAAAAAAGCAAAAGATTTTTATGAACGAGCGATTGAAATTCAAACGAAAGCATTTGGACCTGACCATGTTAATATTGCGACAATGTACGGCAATCTGGGTTCGGTTTACGATGATATGGGAGAGTACGAAAAAGCAAAAGATTTTTATGAACTAGCGATGAAAATTCAAACGAAAACGTTTGGACCTGAACATGTTGATCTTGCGACAACGTACAACAATCTGGGTTTGGTTTATAGTAAAATGGGAAGGTACGAGAAAGCAACAAATTTTTATGAACGAGCCATAGAAATTAAAACGAAAGCACTTGGACCTGACCATGTTAATATTGCGACAAAGTACAACAATCTGGGTTTGGTTTACTATAAAATGGGAGAGTACGAAAAAGCAAAAGATTCTTATAAACGAGCGATAGAAATTGAAATGAAAACATTTGGACCTGACCATGTTAATATTGCGATAAGGTACAACAATCTGGGTTCGGTTTACGATAATATGGGAGAGTACGAAAAAGCAATAGATTTTCATCTACGTGCGATGAGAATTCAAACAAAAACATTTGGACCTGACCATGTTAATATTGCGACAACGTACAGCAATCTGAGTTTGGTTTACATTAAAATGGGAGAGTACCAAAAAGCAATATATTTTTTTGAACGAGCGAAGAAAATTCAAACAAAAGCATTTGGACCTGATCATGTTAATATTACGGGAAAGTAATCACGTCGTAATTTTCTGTGTTAGGCAAAACACACAAAACCAACACAATAAAGTTTATAACTATAGAACTTGAAAGTGAAGCATTTGACCTATATTTTTTCTTTTATTTGCCAACAGCTAAAATTCTTCCGTATTTGAGAAACGTTTCACAAGATAAAGAAAGAAAAAAAAGACAAAAGTCAGTTGTTTTTCAGTATAAAGCGATAGAAATTGAAACAAAAGCATTTGGACCTGAACATGTACTGCAATAATATACAACAATCTTCATTTGGTTATAAACAAACTATAGATATTGAAACTGATGCATTTGGACTTCTATTTATCTTTTATTTGGTAAAAGCTAAAATATTTCTGTCTTTGAGAAAACGTACAAGGAGATAGAAGAAGAGGAAAGGAATTTGTAGCTCATTTTCAATGAAGTAGAAAATCAATTTCTCTTTTCATTTTTGGTATGTCTTCTTTATACTAACGCTGATTAGAAACAGTTGTATTGTAGATTTCTTTCAACAAAGTTCAAATAGCAGCAGTTGTATATTTATAAAAGGTATAAATATATTATTGACAATATTCAAACATTTGTATTTTCAAGTTTTCAACTGTCATTTATTTACTGGAACAGTTTTTATTAATAAACTTGTATGGAACTATCAAAGTATATTAATGAGTTTAGTTTGCAATATCTAGTTATTCAGAAGTTGTGGTGGTCATCTCCCTTTCAAACACGTTTTTTTTTAAATTTTTTGAAAAAATTTTTTTTGCAGTTTATGTTACTTTGATTATTGTACTTGATGAACATAGGGTCTATTTTGCGATATAATAATGCAAAATTTCAAAAAAAAGCCACCAAAGAGACCATGTGCTAAATTTTCAACCTTAGCAACGCCATAGCAACGTGCTTATAACCATATTTCACCCCCGAAAAAAGCAAAAAAGAGCTGTTTTTGAGCTGTACTTTTGGTGTCTGTTATTCACAGCTCTTATGGAAAGATTCATTGTAATTGGTAGGATTTAGTCGGCATAGCAACGACTTGAAGACTTCTAATCATACCGCTTTGCTCGCCTCGTGCAGTTCGAAAGTGCTCTCTTGGAATCGTCAGAATAGTCTTTGTTTTACTTAGTTACGCCTGAAATATTTGTTTTGTTTGATTTTTCGTATTTTTTTGTAATTCTTACTTTTAAAAATTTTGGGAAATATACGGAATAAAAAGAGAAAAGCGGTTAGAACTCCGGCATCAAAAATCAAGAAGATGGCCAAACATGGCCGATACTGTGATGAAAATCCTGGCCCTTTCGGGATGAAAATCGGCAGCAGTACGAAGAAAATTTGACAATGTCCACCTCCAATGAAAAACGTCAATAAAGGTACAATTTTCATTGACTTGTCTGTGCTTTTTGAAGTGTTTATGATGTTTTATTGTCCCGAGTGTGGTGGTAATATACACTCTCATCTTGACATGAGGAAGAAAAATGGCTATTCCCATTACATAATCCTTGAATGTCTTAGTGATGAATGTGAGTGGAAATATTGCTTTGATACATCGAAGAAGCAAGGTCACTCCCATGAAATAAATGTAAGAGCAGTGTTGGTATTTCGTGAAATTGGTCATGGACATTCCGCCATGCTTACATTCAACAAGGTGATGAACATGCCAGCTCCTCTAAGTCGCCAAAACTTCACCAATATTCAAAATAAGAAACTATTGCCTGTTGTGAAACAGTTGGCCAATGACAGTATGTTGTCTTGTGCAATGAAAATAAAAGAACGACTTGACAATGAGAATGGAGAATGTGGCATCTCACTAGATGGGACATGGCAAAAGAGAGGGCATACCTCCCATAATGATGTTGTCACTGCTATATCGCTGGACACAAAGAAATGTCTGGATATAGAACTTCTTTCAGACAAATGCCTGCAGTGCTTTAAGTGGCAAAAGAAAGTGCATGATGTGAGATACGATGAATGGAAGGCTTCCCACATCTGCAAAATAAACCATAAAGGAAGTTCTAATAGCATGGAGACTTGTGGAGCTATCAGAATTTTTGAGCCGTCCATGGCTACCAGAGGATTGAGATATAAGAATATGTTGGGCGATGGTGACTCATCAACATAGTGCTATAGTTGAAAGAGAACCATATGGAAAAGATTGCATTCCAAAAAAACTGGAATGCATTGGACATGTGCAAAAGAGAGTGGGGAGTCGCCTTCGGAGGTTGAAGAGTTCACATAGAGGAGTGAAACTGGCGGATGGTAAAGGTGTGAACGAGAAGGGCAGATTGACTGATGCAAAAATTGACCTTCTGCAAAATTACTATGGATTGGCAGTGAGAGAGAACCTGCATGACATAGATAAAATGGCAAAAGCAATCAAGGCATCCCTTTATCTTGTGGCATCAAGTGATGATAACCCTCAACATGAACTTTGCCCCGACACTGAAGACAATTGGTGTGGATACAAGAAAGACTCTACAACATACCATCATAAGAATGGTATACCAAAAAGTATTGTTGAGCTCATTGAACCCATTTATGAAAGTCTAGGTGATGAAAGCTTGTTGGAAAAGTGTACACATGGTTTGACGCAAAATGTGAATGAGTGTCTGAACGGGCTAAAATGGGAAAGATGTACAAAGTCCGCATATGTGGAACAGAAAACTGTAGCACTTTCAAGCTACTTGGTTGTGCTTAAATTCAATGAAGGAGATATATTATTCCTCAAATTATTTAGTGACTTAGACATACTACCTGGCTTGTTTACTACAAATGGTGCATTGCATTGTGATACCGATCGTATCAAATTATCTTCCAAGAAGAGCACAGAGAAGGTAAAAAAAAGAAGAAAAACACTCAGGCATACGAGAAAGAACTATGTAGATAGTAGTGAACAGAATGAAGGAAAAACTTATGAAGCTGGTGCCTTCTAGTCTCAGTAAGATCATTATAAAACTTTAAATGCTAATTTCTCCTTTTCCTTATTTCCTGTTAGAAGGAAATTTTTGTGACACGATTACTTTTTCAATATTTGTTGTAGAAAGCTCAAATGTTTTGTGGTAATAGTTAATAACAGAATCTAATGCATGACACTTTTAAAAATTTGATAATGTTTAATAATAATGAAAAATTAAGGTTCATGCATCGAACGAAGAATTAAATTTTCCTGAATACCTAGTTTTTCTCACTTATTTCTTTTAAAATAGCTTTTTAACAAAATCAAAAAGTGTCATTATAGAACAGGGGTCTCCAAAAAGTGACATTATAGAACAGGGGTCTCCAAACTTTACAGCCATAGGACCACATGAACTTTCATCCAGCATGTTGAAGGCCGACGAACCGTATACCGCTGGTCAAAGAGAGAATATTTAATAAAACGAAGTACATAACACAAGCTTCATTAGTTAAGAAAATAGCTCCTTCCTTAGCTCAAAAACCCTTGAAAGCACTTTTCCACAACTTAGCCATTTTACTGCAGTGTGATATGGCATGTCAACAGACTCTGTCTCAGTAGGAAGTTGGGACAAAAATTGACATAAGCCACTCTTGCTAGTTGGCTTGCGTCATAACGTGAACTTTCTGCACAAAGTTTGTTTTGTTTAATAATATTATAATTTACTTAAGTGTCTCTGCGGGCCGGATTGAGAGGCCCAACGGGCCGCATCTGGCCCGCGAGCCGTAGTTTGGAGACCCCTGTTATAGAACATTGGATTCCAGGGTTAGAAAATTACTTGATCATAAAACTAAATGGCATTTTCAAATCTTGAAAAAGTTTGACGTAAAATAATATTAAATATATAATTTTATTTTGACTATGTTGATTAAATCTACTTCATTCAGTAGCTAAATAATTGCAGGCTACCAACATGTATGAATTGCGTGCCAATTTTTTTAAATGTATGCCATTGTATTTAATAAACCCAGTGTTTTGGGAGATGTACCCAAAAGCCAAGTAATGAAAAGAAACGTGAATATTCATGATAACTACGATAAATATTGTTATGACAAATGCCTTTACTTGGCCCCAAATGTGGACACTGTTTTTTTTTCCAAACCAAAACGAAATAGGAGGGAAAACCGACGGATCCGGTAAAAAACCCTCCAATAAAAGAAAAAATAAATAATTTAGAAGAATTACCTCAAATTCTTGTAGTATTTTATGATGTTGTATATTTTTGTTGTTTTCAATGATCCCGATGATCTACTTTAACATGCAGCGTAGTCAGATCGTGCGTCTTACACAGTCGTATAAAAAATTAAATTTACGGAGAAATAAAAATGTGGGCTGACTACCCTGTTGACACAGCAAATATTTTTTGTTCGCACATAAGAGGCGCAACCTTCTGTAGAGCACTAAAAATGAAATAGCGCAGAGTTTTAACAAAAAATGTAATCAATAGAAGAAAAACAAAAACTAATATCAGCCATATATAAAATCATATATAAAAATTATTCAGTACGTAGGGACCTGACCATTCACCTGCCCATAACAATTATAAATGAAATGACTAAAGAGACGTTTTGACTTGCATAAAAACAATTTTGATGTCTGCTAGACTTTATTCCATTGAAATTTTCTATGTTGCCTCATTAATTAATAGCTGGCTTTCACTCGTGTGTTTTGTCAGAAAATTTAACAATTGTGAACATTTAGTTATACGGAAATTTTTAACGGTCGAATTTGAAAATGCATTATACTGATAGACATTATGGATAAATAAATTAGCAAGTGTGCATCTTATAATAACGACGCTTGTTTCTTGGTGTTCCTGCCCGACTTCGTCGTTCATTTATTGTCCAGTTAGAAGGCCTACAGACATAGCTACTCTATAAAAAACACGTTATAAATGTCAGCATAATAAAGGAACAAAAACAGAAATTAATTATATTGAAAAGAACAAAGCTTTAATACCTGATTTCCAAGGGTTGTCCTGGTCAGTCTGATCAAGGCGACGTGGTCGGTCTCTTCCTTTTTTTTTCACCGCGAAGTTTTTACGTTGTATGGTTGAAATTAATCGTAAAATTTTTATCTTAGTAATTCAATGAACCCTACTTGCATCATTGCAATTTTCTTAATAAACGTTCAATAAAATTACTAAAGAGTAGCGAGTGAAAGCCAGCTATTTCCTCACAGAAAGTGACAAATTTTAGTGACACTTTTTTAAGTTGGGTGTTTTTCATGATTAAGTTTCAAATTATAAAGATAGACCATCTGGATCCTTTTTAACTATCTCATGCAGCTACTCATACAAGTTAATACCGAAAAATTAGAAATAAATACGTGCGTTAAAATTTCTGCTCATATATTATACAAAGCTATTGATAAGTGTTATCAATGCAACCTTAATGTCTGGAGCATTATTAGAAGACGAAATTAGCATTGAGTTAGACTCAACAAGAGCCACTGCGGCGAACGGTGGGAAAAAAAAACTTTCAAATTATCTTTAGTCCACCCATATCTTTAGATATTAACAAAAAATATCAATTGGCTCTTACTGAAGCTAGTTTGTGGAATTCGTGGGAAAATGTCACTACAAAAAACAACCAAATTGAGTTTGAGATTAGAAATGGAAACTATGAGTTGAGTTCTTGGTGAGTAATAAAATTTCTAATTTCACTTATGAAACTTATGAAAGGTATTTCAATTCAGGTTTCAAGTTATGAAATATAGACATAAACGTGCAATTTTCTATTCAAGATTACCATCGCTTTTTTTATTTACTTTTGGGTAAAAAATTGTTAAAAGATGCTCGATTACAATTTTTTAATGTGATTTTCTTTATTGATCAGGTGCAAGTGTGGTTTTTGCCAAGTTACACTTCTTCAGACACTTCTTCCTCTAGAGGTCTGGTGCTGCCAAGAACTTAAGTCTGTAGCTGAAAGCTTAACACACCAGTCGGTTCTGGCAGATCTGTGAACTATTCTATGTTGTGTCACTCTACACCTAGGTTTCAGACCAGTTTGTTTGGAAAAGTGGTCGCTAAAAATGGCTGCTAGGAAATACAAAACCAGAGAACAAAGACGATACAGAAAAACAGGATCTGAAAACATGTATGATAGCATACTATGTTATTTCCCAGTATTTAAGTATATTTTAGTGTTATGACACATTAGTAATGATTTGGCTTTATATTCAGGTTTTTACAATGTGTTGCATACAGAGAATTCACATCTATGATTTATGGATGCTTAAGAGAAGAAAGAAGACCATTACCAGCATGTGAATACCATGCAATAAGATCAAAATTTAATGATAAAAAGTTGGAATTTAGAGGGTACGAAGAAAATGAAATAAATGAGTGATGTGAAAATTAAGTTTTCCTATTTTTTGGGCAATCTGCCCCATGTTTGTAACCTTTCATTGGCTTCTTGCATGTCAAACATTTTGGCTGGAATTGAGGGGGGGACATCATTGACCACAATGCATTTTCGACGGACCTGTTTTAGTAGCACCTTAGATCTGGGTTGCTTTTGCAGCATGACATTCATTGGTGGTGGGGACATTTCTTTCAAAAGATTTTGTGAATTTGATAATGCGTCTTTGTCTTTTATTGACAGCATCACACTCTCAAATAATTCATCCACATACTCTAAAAAGAAATTATTGTCGTATTCAATACTATGAAATGATGCAAAGCAACACATTTAGCAACAACTTACCAAATTTGGGCTTAACTCTGACATCCCTCACAGTTCCTTCACCATTTTTAAACTTTGGATACACTACATTTATTTGGAAAGTGCCATCATTCTTCATCTTTACATCACGTCTTAAGTTGTTGTTGAAGTGGATGGATGCCAAAATGTGTCTAAAACAATAAAGACTTGTGGAAGTTGCAAAACAACTAACATTGTCATATAGGAAATTTTCGCCCACCTGCAATACATTCCAACATAGGAATAATGAATCATTTTTGGAGAAAAATGATTCAGGACAGAAAGGAATCCTTCCAAACAAATTGTTTGAGCAACTGGTGAAGCCTGGTGAATTGACTTCATCAGCTGTGGGTTTAACAATTTAGCACAAAGCTTTTCATGAGCAACAGAACCTTAAACATTACAACAAAGAATGATGATAAACTGTTAGGGAAGTTATCTTTCAATAATGCCTTCATAAACCTTCTAACAAATATTCCCATGGTTTAATATCAGGGCCACGAAAACAACTTGAAAACAGTGGATCATCCAAATTGGTGTGCTTGTCTACTTTGTGACTCAGGAAAGAATTGAACTTTGCCCAAATTTCTTTGCCATCACAATAACAAACAGCCGAATACTTAGTCGGTGTCCATCGAGCGCGTTTTCTTGCAACAAAATTCACCCAGATTTTACGTCTTCGCTTCGCTTCAGGACACTCATCGCCGTAAAATGGTATACGGTGAAGAAAAATTCTTTCCGCAGAATTTGCTCGGTTGGAACAGCCGAAAACTACATATCTATCAGGCATTTTGATGCAGAGCCGTAGTAGATAAAGTAGAAACTATAGCAAAAATCACACTTCACAAAACTTCCTGTCCTTATGATACGTCACATACTTCTCGATTCAGGCTCTCATCAAACAAATTGAACGCGCAGCAATTTTTCTCCCTTATTGCCCAATTTGAGAAAAGAAACGCATTTATCTCATAAACGAAGCCATCAATCAGAAAATTGTAAAATAACTTTTACAATGATTTTTTTACCTCAATCAGAAAATTCGAAAAAAATTTGTGAGATAAGCACTTTAACTTCCTTATCATGTAATCCATTTGACACCGCCTCTTTTAGTAGTGATTTAACACCTTTTGTAAATATAATATCTTGTCTTTACATCCTACTAATTATTATTTGTCTGAAGATTTCATGAGTAAAGACGAAACGTCACAATAAATTCCATTTTACAACTTTTGGTCTATTTCTATGGCTTTAATTAAAACTTTACGTTGGGCATTAATTTTTATTATACGAATGTAGAATTTGTTACAATTGGCAATTAATTTGATATACGAGATCGAAACGAGTGAGGGAGCAGATGTTTTCTTTGTTATAAGTGAAAAAAGCGACGTTTTCGTTGTCAAAAATAATAATAAATTGACCTAGTTTAATAAGACATCTACCAATTTTTTTTAAGACAATTATAAATAATTTTCTGCCATCAACTGATATTTTAATGTCTAGAAAATGAACTGTACCCTCCGTATCAACAGAGAATATGACGTTTTTATAAAATTTGTTAAAATAGTTTTAATAAAGCCGGGGGATGTTGGAAAGTAACAGAATGTCATCTACATATCTTCTATTTTATTGTGCCGGAATCAATTAAATCGGAAATGATAGATTTTTTTAAATTCAGTTAAGGCCGAAACACACTGTGCAGTCGCTTTAGTCGCGCGACTAAAACTACAAAATTGCGCGGTCACTAAGTTAGTAATTTTAGTCGCGAGTCTAGCAGCTTTGGAAGTTTAGCATGTTGAACTTTTGACCTTGGTCGTCTCAGTCGCTTTCATGTGATTGATTGTTTCCTAGCTCAAAATGTCAATTTATGAAGTTTACGTGAACAAAGATGGCTGGTTAAGAAGAGGCGCTAATAAATTCTTTTCACAACTTTTCCTGTATTATTTGATCTTGCAGACAAAAATTTTAAAAATGAGCCGATGACAGTGAATGTGTGGCATCAAATTCTAGACGATCTGAGAGCTGTTGGGTTTACAGGAACAGGTAGGGAGCAATTTATTTATCTTTGATATTTTTCAGTGATGCCGTGATAAGAAATGTTGTCTGTTGAAATTAGGATTGTTTGACATATTGAGCATATTGTTTTATCAATTTTATCAGTTGAGGAGTTCAAGGCCAAAATGAAAAACCTTAGAGATGTATACGTCAGATACAAAAAGAAAAACGATGCTGCCATAAAATCAGGAGCTTCAGCCTCATCCACACCATCATGGGAGTTTTGGGGTTTGATGACAATGGTTGGACGATTACAGAAAGCGTCAACGGTAAGGCATACATATTAACATTTATGTCTCCTTTTATTATTGTGTTACTGTATAGGGCTGAATGTGTAAAGTAGCATAATGATCGTGGGTTTCAAGAGTGTTAATTCTTTATATAGAACATCAACTAACATGTCTGTCACTGTGATTGAAGATGAATCAGTCAATGAAGTTACAGATGAAAGAAACAGCATTGGTGCATTGACACTCACAGTAGACAATCTGGAGAGCAGGCAGTTTTGTGAAGCAGTCGATCCGACTTCGCACTTAATCTCATTCCAACCCATATCATCACCATCACCTATTTCATCCACCTCAGCTTCATCATCTAGAGCAGCAACACCATCGGCATCACCTCCACGATCACACAAAAAAGAGAAAGAGAGTTCAAGATGATGGTCCTACAGAATACCAGCTGCGGTTGCTGAGCAGTTTGGAAAAATTACTCAACAATCAGCATCTTCCCAACTGAGTCATAATTGGACGAGTATGAACATTTTGGCAGAAGCATGCATTACAAATCAGAAAGCTTCCTTCTGATTACCTTAAAGCACTGGCTATAAAAAGAATCCAGGATGTTCTTTTTGACATTGAATGGAATGAAAAATAATTGTGCTTTACTCTATATTACAACAAAAAAGTAAAATAAAACTATATCAATGAGTTCTTTCCACATATTCCTGCTGCCATGAAAGTTGACCAACTTCTGAATTAAAATACATGGCAAACTTTTCTCTAATTTTGGATGCTTCACTACTGTAGTTTCTTTGTTTGTTGTGAGCTAATGGTTCAAGCACACGGGTTGTTTCTTGCGTCCAAGACCCTTCATGAACATTTCCTGATGGATCCACAATATCTGTGAAACCAGCTGGACTGTAGGAAACATGGCGTGTTCGGAGGAAATTGCGCAAAATGCAAGTAGCCTTGACAATTTTGGACACATTTTCTCGTTCTGCTATAATGGTTGTTTCAAGTATTCGCCACTTGGATACCATTATACCTGATACAAATATCAAGTGTTTTTTATAATTGAAATACAAAGATCCAGAGTTTCTCGGAGCCTGAACAGCGATATGTTTCCCATCTAGTGATCTAATGCAGTTTGTAAAATTCCATGTATAAGCAAATCTGAAAACATACAACAATGATGCAGTTGCAACATAAGTCTACAATAAAGTAACTCATGTTTTAACTTTACCCTTCAGATATTTTCCTCCAGTCACTTGGTTGCGAAGGAGCCTTCATGTATGTGGGGACCAGAACTCTCCAAAGTGCATTACACGTATCGTAAACAAACTCACAAACTGTGCTAGCGCCACGACGATAAGCAAATGCTATAGACTGTGGGCTATCACCTGTAGCCAATCTTCTTAATGTGATTGCTAGTTTTTCAGCATGTCCAACTGCTTGCCTCATTTGAGTATCTTGCCTACGAAGAGATGGACCAACCAAAGCCAGCAGCTCATCAAATATTTGAGGGCTCATGCGAAAATACAGATTAAACTGCTCCTCATCGGTTCTTAGTTCTTGAACCAAGTGCAGAAAATCTCCTTGTACTCTCCTTTGAATGTTTATTGACGAGCCCATCATCTTTTCATTTTATTATTTTTTCCCGTTTTTCAACCTCCTCCAGCTCGTACAATATGCAAACAGATGCCAGTAACTTAGGGGGTGTTTACATGAATGCGGAATTATTTTCCATCCGGAATGAACTCATTCCACTTTAAAAGAAATCTTATTGCATGTTTACATGAATCCGAAATGAGTCACAACTCAATCCGGATAGAGTTCATTCCTAGTTTCATTCCGGATCGAAATTTACTTTTTATCTCATGTAAACGCGAATTGAGTTTCAATCTGGAATGATATTGTGATTAATGACGAAGCACGCATGTGCCATGGGTATTGTCTTCTGGCAAATTGAAGCTCGTAAAAAAATAAAGAGGCTAAATGGGTTAAAATGAGTGCGAAGAAAAACAACAATTAGTTTCATGTAAACACGGATTGACATCACGTTTCGATCGGGATTAAAAGTCATTCCGGATTCATGTAAACACCCCCTTAGCCTGATGACTAGACGCCATGTTGATAGTCGCAATGTGGTCGCCATGCTCGTTTTTGCATGTGTGTTTCTGACGTTCAAACGACTAACGCGCGCGCATCAATTCGCTTTAGTCGCGCGACCAAAGCGACTGCACAGTGTGTTTCAGTGTGTTGTAGAATTATGTTAGCGATTATGGGGGCTAAGGAGGAGTACATTGAAACCCCCATCGGTTTGTTTAAAACTTTCATTGTCGAAAGAAAAAGCGCTTTTAATGCAACAGTCAATAATAAGTTTTTTAAGAGTTCTTTTCTCAAGTTTAGTTAAAATTTGATTTTCTCAAAAATTTCTTTCCAAAATTATTTTTATTGCTCTTTTCAAAGGCACGTTGGTAAATAAAGATTCGACGTCAAACGAAACGAATTGATAGCCTTCAATAAATTTTTAGGAATAATGTGGATAGAGTTTACGGGAACAAACGAATCGGTAAGAGTAAATTCATTAGAAGCGAGAGGATTGAGTAGTGTTGAGAGAACATTTCCTGGGTTATAGTGTGGTATGTTAGTACCACCCAATTCACACTTCCACACTTCCGTTGGAATGATGTAACATTCATATCAGTAGAGCGTCAGTTCTCTTTTAAATATAGTCTTGACGATGAACGTGTAACAAATTCAAAGTATAACTATTCAAATAAAAAATTGTCTTGTTTCCTTCCCAAATATTGAGTTAAAAATGAATACCCTCCCCCCTTTCTCGGCGACGATCATGTCTATCGTGATCTCTATCACGGCCACGGTCTCGTTCACGATCACGCCTTGAACGGTCACGATATTTACCACCACGATCACGCCTTGAACGGTCACGATATTCACCACCACGATCACGTTCATCTCTCTCGCGATCCCTAAAAAAAATAGTAAAATCCATTTTCAGGTCAATTTTAGGCGCTGTCTCATCCAACATGCAGGCATGAGTAGGCAGGGTCTTTCAATTCCAGAAGATTGCTTCAGAGTAAAAAGTGAAGTCTTGAGACATATGAAATGTTTATTGTCATTAAAATGAACTTCGCTTTATACCAACCCGAGCATTCGTGCAAATGTTTTCAACACCAATAAAATGCTACAAACTGTGATTGCTCAGACAAAACCTGGAAATTTAACAATAATATAACTTGAATTTAAAATATTCGGGACTGCTAGTTTTTAGTTTTCCTAAGGTTCCGTACAAGTTGCACATGTTGAAATGCAAATGTCAATACTTGTCTACTTAAAATTTTAATGAAATGAAACACGTGGTTTTTATAATAATTGCATAGTACAAACATTGAAAAGCGTCAAGTGAAAATTTTAACGGTTAAAAAAATTCTTTCCTTTAGAAAACCTCATTAACCGACCAGTAACTTTAAAAACCAGCCTGAAGTAAAGACTGCAAAATCCATAGAGCAATGGAAAGTTGGAGCAATCTAATTGCGCCAGAATAAAAGTTCCACATACGCTCTGACTGGTGAACCCCTTGTAAACCAAGCACATAATCAATGCTACTTCGAGTGTAAAATGGTAGCTATTAAACAGCCGATAAATTCCGTTCTAGATCGCAATTTTAAAATGCCCAAGAGGAATTTGAAGAAAAGTGTTGCTTTATATGAATCTTTGCTTTTATATTTATTTACTCAAAACGTAGCTCACCAAAGGCTTCAAACAAAGTGCAAATTTCTCAATCTTTTGTTTACATTTTCGCGTTTTGCGAGTTCTGATTGGCTAATTTTTAAAACGTAAACTAACCTATGATTGGCTCAGAACGAAACTCCCCCTTGTTCGTATATTGTAAAGGTTTGGTAATATTCTTCAAAAATCGATGCAATTTGCAATTAAGGTCTAAACGACAGTTAAGATCTTAAATCTAAATGAAAGTTATTACATTTGTCGCCCCGCATAAACAAAAGAAATTTTTAAGTACTCTCTGCGACACAATTGGAACATTAATTTAAACAAACAGAACATCCGTAACATCAGCGAATTTTCAGACTGACGGATCCGACTGTCGAAAGCTCGCTTTGTATGTGCTCACAAGATCCATTTTTTGTGATCCGACTAATCGGATAGTGTGAACGGGCCTTGATGCGGTAGAAAAATCACTTGATCACGTTACATCATGGTTAACTATGGGATTAATCTTTTGCTGAACAATAATTTTCAAACCACAATAAAAATAGCACTAAAACAAGTAACTGAATTACGATTATGGCAAATCATTTACAGCTAACGAACATTCATCATACCTGTCAAAATTTTCGACGCGGCCAGAATGCTTTATGTTTGCTTCAGGAGCACCATTTCGTGTGCCACCTAGCCCTCCACCTTGATAGAAAGTCAGAAAGACGTAACTTATAGCACAAAAAATATGAAATTGAAATATACCAATTGTGTAGCAGCAGTACTCTCTTTCTAGCCCATAAAAATGAACTCACGAACTTATATGAGCCCAGGGCTAACAGATAAAAATTTAGGATACTAAAAATACACGTTCCTACTTATGGCTTGAAATCCTTCCTAAAATTTAGGATTGACATTGATTGATTATTTCCTAAAACTTAGATTGATACCCCAATTATTTTACATTTTGTGACAGTTTCCTTCCACTCGTTGATAAGTAATTTTTTTTCAAAAATCACCATCATATTTACCTAAACGTCGAGGTTTCCAGTTCTTCACTGTTCTTCCTCTTTCCACATCTACTACAATACGCCTGCCGTCAATCTTCTTACCGTCAGCATGTTTATAAGCGGCTACAATGGTACGAAACAACTAAGGACTAACTCAAACAAACACCAAAAAAACCAAACAACTGCCTTGTACAAGCTTATAAGGTAGGCAGGTGGAACACCGAGACCAGAAATCGACAACACTTGAAGATAAACCGACCAATCAACCTTACCCCATATTTGCTTACTGTAGCAAAAATATTGGTAGCAAACATCGAGAAACAGCTTTGTATGATTTATTTCAGTCGAGGTTTGCCTCACGTAGGCTGGACGGTAAAAATAGGTACGAAATGCGTACATGTGGGTAGCCTATCAAGTGCATGGCTAGTAAATGAAGTAGATTTAAAGAATATAGTTCAAATAAGATTGTATATTTAATACTATTTAAATAAAACTTGTTCACGATTTGGAAATGTTTCATAGTTACACGACCCATATATTTATTTAACTCTTTCTGCTTTTTTCGAGACTGTAGCTTAGCTTGAATGCCACGTGACCGGGCTCAATTTATTTTGACAAACGCTGGATCGTTGTTGACATGCTTGACTTTTATGGTATAAAATATAATTTGTTTGGGATCAAAACCGAAGCTTATAAAATTTGTATAAAATGGCGCCGTTACTTGACTTATATCATAACCTGTAAGTCATTTCACACTATTTCGAATCACAGGTAAACGGAGAATATATAAGAGCCGCCTATCGAAAACACCGTCGTAATTATTCCGATATAGGTAAAATAAAAATTGCTTCTGAAGACAAGGGGAATACCTCAACTTTAAAATGGCAAATACTCCATACTTACAAAACACATATACTTACGCAAACATGATTCAGAGTTCTTATTAACTTGTCCAAACTTTTCATTAATTCATTCAAAACAATTATTCACTTCGAATTGAGTGAAATTGGGGACGACTTTTCCAAGGGGATATTTCAATACTTGGAGGAAGTTTTGAAGTCAAAGAGAAAGCTAGCATCGCCTATGTATATTCGAATGTATAATTTTTCATAATCTTATACTGTAGTAGACAAGCCTAGCTTTCAAAATTTAATCGAAATTGATCACATCACTTTCTATTTCGCAACACAGTGCTATAGTACGAGAGATTTGACATTACTTAGATTTGGACTTAAGTCAAGTGAAGCTACACTTTGTGCATTTTAAACACATTGTACGCAGTGCCAAAAATAGGGCATTGTAGGTTTGTGAAACAGCAGTTTTGGTGAGTGGAATTGAAATTTATCAGTTAGCATTGCAAGAGGTATTCAAACGTATTTTTCGTGATCAGAAATTTGAATTTGTGCAAAACTCTTTGAGTGAACAATATTTTCTTCGTTTTAAAAGCATTCGAATGTAATACGAACCTATACCCACCAAAATACCCACCAGTTAAAATGAAACATTTTAAATGATCAAGTAGTGTTAGCCATGGCATAGGAGCGAGCAATCGTCTGTTGCCATTCACTTGGCAATATCGACAGTATTTGCACTGAAATGATTTAATAATAGCAGCATATTACTTTGATTGCATTGGAATTGAAAGTGTTGGAAACACAACCGGAAAAAAATGGTGGTAGATATCGATGGCATTGCAGTGAGAAAATTATTAAAAACGTGATAAAAAAATCGGATTTTGTTGCAACAACAACATCGTACTAACCAGGCTGTGTTCAACGACTTACCATTACAGACAACTTACCACAACACGGTCATTTAGAAAAATAAACGATTTCGAAACTTTGCGCTCATTAACGAACTAAAATTGTAAATTACAAAACAAATGGTAGAACTTGTAATGGTAGAACTTACTATGCATGTCCCTTTCATGTTCAAACTCGACAAAACAATAACCACGAGGTTTTCCTGTGGTAGAATTGGTCACCATTTGAATCTACATGCGGAGAAGATACAGACAATCATAAAAATCACTCAAAGTTCTTATCCTTGAAGACAACTTATTGCTTTCAATAAGCCAAAAATACTTCCTTATAAAACGTCATGTCCTAAAAACAAGTTGACCATATTTTATAAATCGAAAATTTGATCTTCGTGCATTTTTTAGAGCTCAAAGTCGGTGATGATTTGCCTGACCTTAACATCAAAAAAACTAGGGCGAATGTCTAGATCTGACGTCATATCGGGAACCCGTTTTAAGAAAACACTGTATTTTACACATAATTTCCTCAAAAGCATAGCTATATTGTTGCATTTGCCACGTGTATGACATCTTGTGTCGTGGATGTTCAAATACATCCAATTTTAAACAAAACGCATCAGATGAATTCCCGATGTGACGTCAAAAATAACATTAGTTGCCAGTTTTTTTATTCTGGCGGTCAAATAATGAAAATGGTCAATTTTTCAACTTGGAGTGCGAAAATATCCAGCAAAATCATATTTTCGAACTATAAAATATATTACAAAAATTTTAAAGTACTCTGAACTATTTAAATGGCAGAAATGCAAAACACGATATAGGCACTTTAAGTACACTGACCGATTTTACAGGACCATAAACTTCCATCTCTCTTCGCATTTTCTTTTCCGATGTATCGTAATTCTAAAAAAGATAAAACCTTTCAGATACATTCATAAACATACCAGGTATGAAAACAACGACAGAAACGCCCACAGCCGCAAATGAATGAGATATCTAAACATGTCTATTTGGAAAAAACTCGTCTTTTACATTAAACAAGTATTAACGAAGGTGCTTTTACGCAATTATGTAAACATGTTTGTAGACGAGAAGGACAAAGTTCAAGTTGGTGAAGTCCTTAAAACGATTGTTGGTGTCTGAATAGGCTAACATTCCGACAAGCTGTGAGTAGTCATTTCCTGAGTTAAGCAAGGAGTAACTTTTAGAAGTAATCAACGTTTGCCTATGAAGAAGAATGCCGCCAAATCTATCGGAATACCAACAGTCTATAAAGATCCTTGTAACAATACTCCCTGGTTCGAACATTCACTTTAGGCACAACTTGCACCATAGAAGGTGAAAAGATAATTTTTTGAGAAAACAAAGTCTCCTGTTGATATTTCAAGCTGTAAAGTTGTTACCATGCATCGCACGACTGGAGTACTTGCAAAGACGTAAAAATAAGGTAGGTCAAAATGACCGGTAACGTAAACAAACCGGTCAACAAGCTTTTTGGGGCGGTCATTGCCGTTGACCGACCGTTATAGTGAGCTCTCGATAACCTTAACTATACATACATGTAATGGTGGGTGTAAATAACTAAAAAAAACCTGGTTACATACGGTATGCATATAACGAATAATTAAAACAATTAACAATGTACTCATCTAATTAAGGGGCTGTTCATATGAGCCCGGCTACACGGGATTCATCGAGGCGTTAATTGATTTTGAGGCATTGAAAGGGGGCAAAACTTCAAGCTTAAAGATTACAGCTGTTTGCTAAGTGCCACAAGCCATTCCTGTCGAAATTCTCAAATTGGGCCAAACTGGTTGTTTCAATTTTAAATGTTTTGCATACTTATTAAATCAAAATATAGTGAAGTTGCTCTAGAAGATTTATCTAATGATATGTAAGAATAGAATTGTTTCCATTTGCCAAAATCAATTAACGCCTCACTGAATCCCAGTTAGCTGGGCTCGTATGAACAGCCCCGAAGCAATGCTCAACTCCTATTCCTAAAAAATATTGCTTACCAGTCTGCCAACAAATAAAGTTTTAAATGCATCGGAGCCATCAGTGTGAGGATCCCCTAAAATAATTAAAAGAAATATCATAAGTGCGTAAATTTCACAGTTTTTATGATGTTGAGTTTTGTCCCCTCTTAGTGGAGTACAAACCACTAAAACACTAGTCCATCTTTCGTGGAGTGTTAAGAGTCAGTGGCAAATGATTTTGTTGCATTGCCTGACAAATTTTGGTATTAATACAGTTTATTCCTGTTTTAGTTGACTTAAAGGCAATATAGTTAGGCTTTTTTTTAAATTATATTGGTACAAAAATACAGGTATGTTCACAACGCACTTCATTTTGTCAATGTTAAAGGTTCGGTGCTAAGTTCTAGTGCAAAGTAAACATCACATAAGATTTATTTAATCACTACTCTTCACCAACAGCCTGCAACATAAAATAAAACAATTTAGAACATTTATAACAATTTAGGATCAACTTACATTCTTCTGCAGCTTTCTCCAAATCCGCTTTCTTTTTCTTAATTCTTTCACATTTCTATTTTCAAAAAATACAACATGTAAGCTGCAGCTCTAGTTAAATATTTTACCATCAGCCACCACCATCATGTATTGTATACTAAATATATATATTATGTTATAAAATAACAACTGTTTATTCTGACAACTGATCCTCTCACAAGTTTATTGAACTTCTTTAAAAAGTTGTACGATGAGAACAGTGGTGGATCCAGCTTTTTATCTTACCCCCTTCATACCATTTTGATACTGACATGAATATATTAATACTAATTAAAGTTCAAATTTTTCTGAAATGTAAGCAAAGCTCAATACAACTTTTTGCCCTATCTCAAAAATCATAAGTCATAATATTGTTAAATAACTCAAAATGAAAATGTATTTTAAGATAAACTCTGCATCTTCAAGACTTTTAAGCACTTGAAATAAAATGCAAATAGGTCTAATTACTAGCAGAGACATATTACAGAGAAAAGTAAACTTTATAAAGAAAACGTGCTTTCATGACAAATTAAAATGTAATGAGTACTATTAAAGCTGTGTATTTGATCTTTGTTTTTAATCCAGAGGGATATAAACTTCAGCTCTAAAATTGCAGTGAAATGCATTTACATTTTATAATTTCCTATTCAACAATGTGATCAGCTCAGCACCCGCTTTAACATTCTCAATTTAGAATTCAGCTCTTTAGGGATAGTGTGCCTACATATAGGCCAAAAGCAGGAATATTTTGAAACCGAATAAGTTTTTCAAGCTGTTACAACCATTTTTCATTTAGTGCACTAAAATATCCTTATAATACAGACTTTGAGTTGGAACAATGATTTGTATTGAGTGCGATGTGTTTATTTTCAACTTTTGACCTGACAGACCAGTCAATAGAAATTGACCAATGAAGGTTTTCTTTGCTCTTTTCTTGACCAATTGTATTAAAGGAAAGTTTGCAAGCTAACCTACAGATCAGTCAAAGCACACTTAAAGTTGCCTGCCTGCAGACTGGTCAAAATCAATAACTGGCCAATTGAAAACATATTTTCGAGCTTTAAAGATTGCCGACAGGTCATACATTCATACACAAACTACTGACGTCACTGCTGAATACACCAAAGTAATGCTTGCTCTATTAGTCTTGCAGTAATGCGTAATATTATCGAATTTTGTATGAAAATGTTTTTTGAACGTAAGTAGTGATAATCTATGTTTGCTTTGATTTTGAAATATGGAACTTTCCAATTTCACAAATTTTCACCTACTTCACTTGACTGGTTTGATGTACCAACTTAAAATTTACCACCCTGAAACCAAAAACATACCTTTCTTTCTATTTTTTCATCTCTAGTTTCTGCACGAGTTGGAGAAGGTGTATCTTCAGGATCCTATGAAAAATAAGTAGAGTCGATTTTACTGATAGCACCTGCAAACTTTTTGAAGTGATTCAGTTTTTTATAGATACCACATTGGCAATGTACCTTATACACACAATCACATGTCAGTTGCTAAGGAATATGAAAATCAATGTCTCTTAGTTGGGGATTAATGTTGCTCAAAAGTTTTGCACATTCATTCAACACTTGAAAATTAGAAAAAACTACAAGGTTTAACTAAATATATCTATCACTTCGAGCTAAGCACTAGAATTGCTGAGCTTGGGCAGTTTTCAATGCAAGAAATGTGTGTGCATATAACCTTGAAATTTCAAAATAATATATGTATAATTAAAAGCATTAATATGTCAGCATTTCTTTGTATAAAAAAATCTTATTAAAATCACGCAAAAGCGAGCAAATCCAATTAAACACAATAGTAAAGAAATTTCATCAATTGATTAAATTAGACCTTTCCATTCAATTACTTTACAAATGAAATCAAAATTCACATTCTGTGTACTCAAACAGATAGGGAATAAGAATAACTTGTTAAGTTCAGCTTAATGTAGCTGTCTACTTATATCATCTGGATTTATGACTGATTTAAAAACAATGAGGTACAATAAACAATAGCTATTATATGACTTTAAAAAAATCAGAAAACCCAATCATATGAGATATGTACTTGCTGTCAACTTGGTGATATAAAATTTTGGAATAAGAAAAATATATTGCATCATATTTAATTTCTAGTACATCAAATTCTTGAGAAGCTTCACATGCAACTTTATTGAAAAATTATGTTGATAAACCTAAATATTTTTTTCATTTCAATCACGTGGTTTTCACAAGAACAAACAAGGCCGGGAAAATTTTAATACGTATATTTCCCTTGAACTGTGAACATCAAAGTTTTTCAAAAATCTTTGTATATCAGGTCGATTGCCAAAACTACTGAATTGTTTGTTTCGGTATAGAATACGCGATAACTACCCAATATTTTATAGTCAAATAAGGCGGTTTGCATCCTATGGACTATACTTCAACACATGTGAACAAAATCGAGATATCTGATTTTTCATTCCTCTAGTGTTCAAAACGCAACAACACCCACAGAGGTGTTAAAATGTATTGCAACATTAAATCATCGACGTATTTAATACCTCGAAGTCAGCAACGATACTCGCAATTCCACTGTACGGCCAAGGCTTTTTCTGATGACCTAGTTTATCCAGAGGCGGAAGATATGGTATGGGAGGTCTAGCAGCAAATAATGCCAAAAGATTTGACGGTAAAAACGCGGTCATTTCGACTATAAAATTAAAATATTCGCAAACTCTGCCAGTTCCAACGAAATAAGAACACAATAACGAGTGAAGAAGTCAAGAAGTGAGGATTTCTATTGAGTTGGCCGCGTGGGCTCATGGGTACTGTGGGGACACCAGTGAACTGTAATATAAACTGGAACAATAACTCCTATATAAACCAATATAAACTACGGTGGCCCGTATGTGCAATACACGAATAAAAGTGCGTAAAAAAATTATAAATCTCCAACAAAATAATCATAACACAAATCAAACTACTAGATACAAGTAAATAAGGTTTATTAAGTGTTAATTATTGAATAATACGCGACAAAAAGCTGTCAAAAACACAACTAAATCTTTCACTTGCGTGAAATGTAGAATCAACTAAAATATTTTGAATACAAAATACAATGGCACATGTTCCCAACTTGGCTTGCTTTCAAAAAGAACATTTCATCTGGTCGTCCAGCAACAGTTTCAAACCTAAACTTCCGTATGTAATGTGTGTTCCAGTGTAGTTGGACTGATGTAAAATCTGACTGAACAAGTTCACTGAAGCAGAACCACAGACACTCTTTCTGCAATTGATTTGATAGGCAAAGTTGACCAATTTCAACAAGGTCTTTAAAAAATTCATCCACCAACTGGAACGATTCTTGCGCAAGTAGGACCACCAGCATTCAATGCGCTGATTAGAGGGTGAAATGCCATACCTGTGTGATTTCTCACCAGCAAATTCATCTTCCCCATCACATCGAAAATAAGATTGAATGGCAGCCAAAATTGTATTTTCAGTTCCATTGTCGGTTCTAAGTACAGTGGGACAACCTCCAAACTCCTTCACAGCATTTAAAAAAAAGTGTCCAATTACTGCAGGATCATTGTTAGTTCTGCAGACCTTAAACCACAGGACCTTGCGGCTGTAGCCATCAATGCACCCATGAACTGGAAAACCATAAGGTTTTAACTTATCATGTCCATCCACGTGCCATGTATAGTTGGGGCCTGGGGTGTGATAAATTCGACGACGAAGAGTTTTGGACTTTCTTTGTTGTACACCTTGAGGATCAAGTTCCTTTAGGATAACTCTAACGACATCTCGTGAAACCTGCATACCTTCAATTCGCAATGTACGCCAAACCGCACGATAACCGCCAGAACAGCCAGGACCGTCAAGCTCTTGCTAAATACGAGTTTTAACATTATCTTAGTTATAGTCAATTTTCTTTCGTTTAAGCCCAAGATAGTGAAGTTTTGTATTTAAGGTTCTCGAAGAAATTCTGATGCCATGGTATTGAGACAAAATAGAAAGTATCTTTTGGTAATCAAAGCCTTGTTTAAAGTAACGCTCTATAATCTCTTCGCAAGATGGATTTTCAGCGCGACTCTGACTATTCATTTTCCAAAATAAAATGCGCTCGAAATCGCTGCATTATATGCTGTAACTGTAATTAATCTAAGTAGTTTCTTCGTTTTGCAATCGTGATATGGATAAATGGCAGTAACAGGACTATTCGTAAAGTGTTCCCTTATGATCGTTGATGTTCACAGATGCGACATTTTGTTGTGTATTGAAAACGATATACTTGTGCATAAAGTATTTATGTTAATGTTTATATAAAAGGAGTTGGTATATTGTGAAATATTTAGTTGTGTAATTTCATATATTTATTCGTGTTTGCAGATACGGGCCACCGTAATTTAAAATATTTGTTTGCGTCAAAAGTTCACAAAATGACAAAACTTTGCATGATGAAGTGTCAAGTTCAAACGTTATCAATTTTGAAGTATCTCTGATTACTGAGATGTGACAAAATTATTCAAAATTAGAGATTTCGAGATTAACTACTCTGAAATTCCTTTTTTAAATAAAAACTGCCCCTAAAATCTTGAGCCCCCCAACTTTTACTTGCTTCTCACGCCCCTGATCAAGTTATTTGTTTATACAGATCAAAAGTTTATAAATGACAAAACTTCATTAACCACGTTTCAAAGTTGGAACGCTGACAATTTCAGAGAAGCTCTTAACTTCATAAATTATAAATCTTTAATTTTTGAGCTATCTTACTTGTAAAAGGCTGCTACCCCGTCTTCCTTATGATTATTTCAGTTAGTTTCCATGTAAGCCAGGATGTTCAATAATTGAAATAAATAATAGTAAACTGTGAAAGGTTTATTTGCATAAAGCTTTTAAGTCAAAACTTCTTTGTGTTTATTTATGTCATAGCTAAAATAAAAAATTTGCATTTCATATTTTATTGGATATAAACAGAATTCAATATTTTACAATAAAAATATCAGGTGATTAAAATCAAGCATTTATTGAACATTCCGATTTCTTTATTATCAAGCAAAAGCAAACACATCATGTAGTTGGTTGCGTCGCTTTTATCCTTTTTGAATTTGTGAAGGTATGTTGATTTTAAAGTTTACTCGCCTTTATGTAACGGTGTATTCTAACATTCTGATTTAATGTTTTGTGTCCATGTATCAATTTTTTTTTGTTTTGATGTCATGAATATTGTAGTTAAGTATAACTTATAAATTAGTGCCACGTATGTTTTATATGGATAAGTTTTCTTCATTTTGGTGGGATTTTCAAACACAGACAAATTTTGGATACATTACACGTGGAAAATACGACTTTTCTCACATCAATACCAGTTTACTCCAATCGTTTATTTTAAATTATATTAATACAGCAAAGTTTATTAAATTAAGGTGTTGAGTCAAAATAATGACACGTCAAAGAATGTTACATGTGCATGTCGTTATGTGCAATAACTTTTCTTTTTCTAACATGGCTTTTATCAAGACTTGTACAACATTTTATGCAATATAAGACTAGAATATTTACATCGAAAGAGAGTATGAAGTTTATTATCTAGATATCTTATATTTCGCAAATTTTGCGTTAGATATCTTTGGAAAAATTAGTTGCTACAGATTTGCATGATCATTATCTTTATGTCCTTTCTGTGTCTTTGTTGAAAGGCATTTTTGATATGAATAGCATTTGTTGATATTGATGGGTTTTTTAAACAAAGAAGCTCTGTTTATAGATTTTGTTATCTTCATAAATTATAAATCTTTAATTTTTGAGCTATCTTACTTGTAAAAGGCTACCTACCCCGTCTTCCTTTATGTTTACTTCAGTTAGTTTGCATGTAAGGCAGCATGTTCAATAATTGAAATAGATAATAGTAAACTGTGGAAGGTTTATTGGCATAAAGCTTCCAAGTCAAAACTTCTTTGTGTTTACTTCAGTCTTAGCTGAAATAAAAAATTTGCATTTCATATTTAATTGGGTATGAACAGAAATCAATATTTTACAATAAAAACAGCAGGTGATTAAAATTTAAGATTTAGTGAGCATTCCAATTTCTTTATTATCAAGCAGAAACAAAGATATCATGTAGATGGTTGCGTCGCTTTTAATATTTTTCAATTTGTGAAGGTATGTTGATTGTAAAGTTTATCTGTAATTGATTGTTTTTATGTAATGTGTCACAAATAACTTATATAAATAATTAGGCATGTGTTATACGGACAACATTTGTCAATTTTGATGAAATTCTTAAACAAACGGTAATTTATTTTGGACCATTTACCATTGTAAAGTACTGACCTTTCTCTGATTAATGTTATATGTATGTAGAATCTACAAATTTGGCAAGATGAGTCAAAATAATGACACGTCAAAGAATGTTAGATTTGCATCTCATTATGTGTAATAATTTTACTTTTTCTAACATGGCTTTTATTAAGACGTGTACAACATTTCACTTTTTTCATTAATTTGTTACGTCTTATACAATTTACAATTCTTTGGTTAAGCATATTCTGAATCATCAACGAAAAACAGTCAACAAGATCTTAAAGATCTTTGGTCAATTTAGATGGTATGTCAACGTACAACCATTAATATTTATTGAATATAGGACCTGAATATTTACATGGAAAGAGAGTTGGAAGTTTTTCATCTAGATCTTTATATTTCGCAAATTTTGCGTTAGATAACTATGCCAAAATTAGTTGCTACAGATTTGCATGATCACTATTTTGTGTCCTTTCTGTGTCTTTGATGAAAGGCATTTTTGATATGACTAACAATTGTTGCCTTTCATGGGGTTTTTTAAACAATTACAAATAAATGTTAGATAATTTAACTTTGGAAAACACTGAACTTTTCAGCATCAGCGCTAGATATACATTCCAACACTTCATTTCAAATATTATTCTAAAAATTCAATAAAATGTGTCAAAATAATGACACATCACAGGATTTCAGTTATGTATATCATTATACGGAATGATTTTAATTTTTCTGACATGACTATCTTCAAGAAGCACAACATTTTTTTCATTGCTTATTGGATTCTCTTGCTAAAAATCTTATGCATGATCAACAGAAAACAATTATCTTTGATGCATTTTAATTGATGTCAACATAAAATTCATTAATGTTGACACAAAATTAGAAAATTGAACGAGACTTACCTGCAGTTGAAGTTCGATTGGGATTCTATTAGCATCTACAGAGCAGAGATTACACGAGATACTACGCATGCGCACATTGGTCATATTTCAAAGATAGTGGCCACATGAACCGCCTAAATGTGTATATGAACGATATGTAAGGGGCAGTAAAATGATGGGTGGGCGTGTAATCTCTGCTCTGTAGATGCTCATAGAATCCCAATAAAACTTCAACTTGAGGTAAGTCTTGTTCGCTTTCCTAATTCTATTAGCATCTACTGCAGAGATCCCATGAGATTTGAAAGTCATGTGGACACACTTCATGCCTACACGCACATACGACAATAAGTTATAAACTTATTTTAATTGGAGATGTATCAAACATACCCAGAAATAGTAAAAAATATGAATTTAAAGTATTTCCTTCTCTTGCACTATACATGCAAGTATATGTGTTCTGAACTCCCTGCCAAGTTCAACTAAAGAGAATTCTCATCCAATATCTTTCTTATTGGGACGCTGAAAGAATGGCATTCCCAAACTCCGCATCGCCACGTTGAGACACAACGTTCTTATTGTAAAATCAATGAAAAACGCAATCAGTCTTCCAACTTGCAGCTTTCAGTATAGAGTTTATCGAAACATTACATTGCTTTGCTTTACTGGTGGCTGCGGCTCGTGTACTATGTGGTTTGCACGTTTCTATATGAATTCCTACAGATTGCATGACAACCTTTATCCAACGAGATATAGATGACTTCCATACTTTATGAAAGGGTCGAATTGTGCTAAGAAATAGTTGATTTTTCTGAACCAGAATGGGAGCAGTGCGTTTAATATATTCTTCCATGACTGAGGCAACACATAGTCGGTGATCGGCAGGGAACTTTGGTATCACTAAAGTAGGTTGAATGCGTGTTGGTCCAGACTGTTTGACAAGTTGGTCGATATAGAAGGTGTATGAGTCCTCTTCCTTCTTTACAGTTAAGAGTTTCATGAGGTGGAGTGATTGGGCACGCCGCTGTGACTAATGTACAGTGCATTACCAAATTATCAGGAAGCTGTTGTAGGGTTAAGTCTTCTACTGCGGGATGTGTCTTTAAATACTCTAAAACAATGGAGGTGTCCCAGTTTACTTGATGTCTTGGTAGTGCTGGTCTAGATTGGAGCACTCCCTTCATAAATCCCTGAACCATATGATGTGTACCAATCGTAGAATTCCCTTCAGTAATAACGAATGAAGATAACATACTTCGAACAGTGTTTATGCAACTGTAACGCATCCCTTGATCAAATAGGTAATGTAGAAAGTCTAGAACTACCTGTAAAGTTGGATGAAGGGAGTCTGCATTTTGTTGTTCTTTTGTTTGATTGGATGGTAAGCTCAGGTTGCTTTTGTTTTTGGGTAGGAGAATGGGTCGGTGAATCATTAATCTTGCCAGCATCGGATACCAGGATTGAGTTGGCCAATTCGGCACAATGAAAATTGTCCGTGCCTGGGCCATTTCTATTTTTTCTAAAACTTGTGATATAACACTAAAAGGTGGAAAAGCATAAAGGAACAATTTACTCCAATCAATGCAAAAAGCGTCAATAGTCCACGCCTTTGGATCTGGGTGCCGTGAGACATAGGATTTAAGTTGATAGTTTAGTCTAGAAGAAAACATGTCAACTTCTGGGGTCCCAAAATGTGCTGTTATTTCAAGAAATAATTCAGCATCAAGCTTCCATTTTTTGGAATAATCAAATGTTCTGGAAGCTTTGTCAGTCACCACATTAAATTTCCCAGGGATATAGCTGACAGTTAGCCATATGTTCCTGATTCTGTACCACGCCCAAATTTCCCTTGCAATTTTATCGCCATGGTGCGAGTGGCAGCCCCCCATGTGGTTAAATCATGCAAGGGCAGTGGTGTTGTCAGTCATTACTTTAATGTGGGTGTGGAGAAGATCTCTACAGAGAGATTGTAGCCATAACAGTATAGCTTTGAGTTCCAGACAATTAATGTGCGAGTCTTTTTCGGTGATTGACTATTCGCCTCCGGGGGACTGTTTATTAATACGTGCGCCCCATCCCTTGGTAGAGGCGTCCGTATACAATACGTGGTCAATCTTGCCATGATTTAGATGTTTTCTGGACTCATTTTTAATCCACCAAGATACGTCCTCCAGTGCCGAAGAGGAGAGTTTCAATGTCGCGTCGAAGTTACCCCTGACGATCGACATTTTGGACTTCCGAAGGAGACATTTTTATAGATTGGGGTTGCTTCAGCTGGACTGGATCTCTAAGAAAATCAATCTTGTATCCGTTTACAGCTGATAAAATGGAAGGATCATGAGTTAGCTCCCTCCACTTCCCAATAAATTGCTGTATCCAGCCTACAACTATACTACAATCATTGTCTCCTCCAGACATGATAGAAGAACTACACTCGCGTTTGCTAAAACTTACACGATCGAGAGTAGGAGTCACTACTTTCTTAGTGTTTCCCCCTGTCTCGACTTTCCTCTTCAATTGGTTTTGATAATAGTTGCGTCGTTGGGCTCGGCTTTGCAATTGACCACCCCGACGTTGGAACAAAAAAAGTACATTGGAATTATATGAGCTGGTCGACCGTTGATCATTGCGTTTCCGTTTTTGGCTTGAGAGTTGCTGTGCAGCCTTTTTGCTTTCTTTTACTGTTTTCAGGCGTTCCTTTAAATCATCACCATACAGTTCTTCAGCAACAGGTTCTTTGTTACTACAGAATGCCTTATAATTTTCAACAAGTCCCTGCGGCACATGTTCAGATCCTGATTAGCTGAAGCGAGAAGCACAATTCATTTGCACAGCCCATCCCGAATAACTTTTGGTGTACTGGTGTCGGTGCATGTGTTGTAGGGTTTGTTCCAAGAGATGTACTAATCGTTTCCGCAATTCGGGAAATCGGAATAAGGCCCTTTATTAAGGCTTCTTGCATGTAATTTTTGTAGACGTGCATCCATGCTACGTGTGGATTTCCTAGCAATGTCCCAAATTTCTGGGTTCACCTTTGTAACTCTTAACAGGTCACATTTTTCGGGTAGTTTTACCCCTTTCTTCCGTTTTCATAATGTTTAATGGACAGAATGCTGGTCAGGATTTTAGAAATGTTTGTTCTCAATCACTTCGTGAATCAGCTCATCTACCAAAGCATCGCTTTGGTTTGCTAGAGCTGGAGCTGTATCTGCAACTACAGCAGCAGCCCCGTTGGTTGAGTGTTCGTCACCAGTTTCACTTTCAGACATATCAACATCGTTCATTTGGCGTGCAGCATCATAAGCCTGCTTAAGCTCTTTTACGACAGGACCAAAAGTATTCAACAAAACAGTAAGTTAATCGACTTTCTGGTTAAGGTCATCCAAATAGTTCTCACGTCATTTCCTTCTTCTAGGAGATTGTTGTATTTGGCTTTAGCAGGGTGTTTATACCCGGCCCCGCCAGATTTGCTCATTTTCCCTTGTAGACGAGACCGTTTCTGTTCCGGTTCATTGTCTACATTCACGTCTCCTAATAAGCCCGACAGCGTCGGATTAGGATGGTTATGCAAGAGCGTCAGGTCATCTGCTTGCTCAATTGCTTCGCTGACTTGTGCCATTTGTTGTTGAATAGATTATCTAACCACAGAAAAAGAGTTTGCCGCGCAAACATAGTGGTTATGCAGGTATTTTGTCCTGTATTGTTTTTTACAACTTTTTTGTCATTCTACACAGCCGGATGGCAAATTATTTTATGGATTATTCGTATATGACCAAACACGCCATCTGTAATGGCGGTGAGCAAGGTAGAGAATGACCAAGGTGGGCATGCGTAGTATCTCGTGGGATCTCTGCGTTAGATGCTAATGGAATCGATGATTTTTAAGGCAAATTGATCGTTATCATTTCCAGTTGCATGTATTTCTTGTTCTGTTTGGTTGGTGTGGGCATTCACACTCACGCATCATGGAAAGTCAAAAAAAATGTGAACTTTTGGAAAAATTCTGCTAGGCTGTCATTTAACACCACGTCACCAATGATAAACAAGATATCTTTGTCCACCAAAGTAAGCCTTCCTTTTGATTTTCCAACAACTATGTCTAAAGCAACAAAATAAACGTTCACTCGATGATAAGCAATGGCTGATATACTATGATCCTTATATTGGCCATTATATGACCCACCAACTAAAGCTTGGAGGCGTCTTGTAGAATGGTAAATTCTTGGTGCAGTTGCTTATTTGAATGAAAATTTCGTGTCTCTTGATAACACTCTTTATTTGGTTGCCAGTGTTTTCCGCCATTTGTCAGAGACCATCAATGTTTTTGTCGTTACGATAACATTGAAGAGAAGTAACTGTTCCGTGTACTGTTTTACGAGCACTGATAACATCCATAGTGCTACTTTGTAAATATATGTTTAAGACACTAACATTTTCACAATTTTATTTTTAGAAGAACAAAACAAAAGACGAATACGAAACCTCCAACAGTATCAAATTAAAAATTTGCGGGCGGTGAAGTTTATGGATCCTTATGCTTTGTTAATTAAACCAATGCTTTGGTAATATTCTTGACTTGTCGAATAACTGCATTGAGGGATTTGCAACACACAAACACCTGGTTTCATATTGGGATTTGAGTGTGAGCTTTGTATTGCTGTTTTACAATGCGCATCACCAAAAAGGGTATGTGACTGATTGCTTTCTTTTAAAATGTAACGGTTCAACATATGAGAGTGATTTCTGGATTACTAAGTTTAATTTAATGAAACAGAGACTTTGTCGTGGTGACAAACTTAAAGATAGATTTAGAAAATAGCAAATACCATGGTGAATGGTGATAATAACAATGTAATAGTTCTTAAAAGAACTGTTTTAACCAGAACACTAACCAAACAATTCAAAAGAACCGTTATTTACAGCTAGAAAGAGACACTATGCATTTCGGCAGACTACTCGTCAGGTGTCAACGTCTGCTAAATGAGAACCTCCAAACCATGCTATATTTATAACGTTACAAAAGGTCAATGTCATCCCTATTTTTAGAGATGACACTTAAAACAGAGACAGATTAAACACGTAATCCTTTTGTCGGCAAAGGACAGGATTAGTCAATTTAATTAATACCGACTCCATGACGCGACATTATCCTACAGTGACCAGGCAGTTACTTTCTTTAAATGCATGTAGTAATGTTCGCATTTATCCTACATTATCCTACAGTGACCAGGCAGTTAACTTCTTCAAATGCACGTAAGCTGGAATAACGAGCGACATTTTTTAATAATTCTAAAGTTTTCATCAGAATAAGCATTGACACAGCGAGTGTTGCTCAAAAGATGTTTTCCAATCGCTGAATCACATAGAATCGGATTTTCACTTTTACACCCACGTTTTGGTAGTTGTTGTAAAGGAACAGTTTTATTCCTGACAGAAGCTGGTACATGCTGTTTTATTCTTTCACTCAACCTTTGAGAAGTCCTACCTACATAGCGAGCATCACACTCACATTTAAACTCGTAGACTACATTGCTTGATATTTGAGCAGGGAGAGACTCTTTGGGAGTGGGTGGAAGAATAGTTTTTTGAGAATATAAAGACCACATTGCATGCAAAAAACATTCGGTGATATTTTTAGTTTCCCTCTTGATGTCATTAGAGGCCTTACCCATCCAGGGAAGTTTAAGGAAAACAGGGCACTTGGCCGGTCCGAAAAGTTTATTCCGTTCATTGTTAGTGGATAAGAAAAGTTTGTCTAGCAACTTCTCCGGATATCCATTTAACACAAAAATATTCTTCAGTGAGATAAGATCACTATCAATAAACTCTTTTGATGGCAATCTATCAATTAGCCTTTTTAGATGTTCTTGTACACAAACGCAATGGTCAGTTCTTAACAAGCATTCATCGCAAAGCAACATTCACTGGTTTGTACACACGCTTTGACTCTTTCTCTTCGCATAGAGAAAAGATTTCTATAGTGAAGTGTTTGATAAGGCGAACGTGCAATGTGGTCTTTATTTTTGTGTTAAAGGGATATCCGGAGAAGTTGCTAGACAAACTTTTCTTATCCACTAACAATGAACGGAATAAACTTTTCTATCGGCCAAGTGCCCTGTTTTCCTTAAACTTCCCTGGATGGGTAAGGCCTCTAATGACATCAAGAGGGAAACTAAAAATATCACCGAATGTTTTTTTCATGCAATGTGGTCTTTATATTCTCAAAAAGAACTATTCTTCCACCCATGTGGGTGTAAAAGTGAAAATCCGATTCTATGTGATTCAGCGATTGGAAAACATCTTTTGAGCAACACTCGCTGTGCCAATGCTTATTCTGATGAAAACTTTAGAATTATTAAAAAATGTCGCTCGTTATTCCAGCTACGCGTCATGGAGTCGGTATTAATTAAATTGACTAATCCTGTCCTTTGCCGACAAAAGGATTACGTGCTTAATCTGTCTCTGTTTTAAGTGTCATCTCTAAAAATAGGGATGACATTGACCTTTTGTAACGTTATAAATATAGGATGGTTTGGAGGTTCTCATTTAGCAGACGTTGACACCTGACGAGTAGTCTGCCGAAATGCATAGTGTCTCTTTCTAGCTGTAAATAACGGTTCCTTTGAATTGTTTGGTTAGTATTTTGGTTAAAACAGTTCTTTTAAGAACTATTACATTGTTATTATCACCATTCGCCATGGTATTTGCTATTTTCTAAATCTATCTTTAAGTTTAATTTGTGTGCATGGAGTGTATGTAAATGGAAGGTGAGCTAACTCCCTTTTCCTAATCTTTTCCTTCATGCTCCATTTATCTTTTGATGTAAATTTAAGACAAAATTTTAGAGCTTTTTTTTCATTTTTTAGATTTTCCACAAACATTTTAAATGTTAGGCATGTTTTGATTAACTTTAAATGCATGCAAAAAACTCGGCAAATAAATTGTACATTTTATGGCAATTACATGAAATTCAGATGTCGATTACATACAGAATACTATAAAATTGTAATACCAGAGTATACCACAATATTTTACAGTGTGTAATTGATTAATTTTTTAAATTTTTGTTTTTTCCATCAAACGTGACATTTCTTATGTTTTACATGTTTTTTTATTGGAAGGAAGATTAATTTCTTATGGTTGTCTTTACGATTATTTCTTCGAAGGCAATCAAATCTTTTATAAGGAATAGGAATTTTTTTTAAATGCAAAGGCTACATTACAGAACACTCTGCTTCATATATATTTCTATTGTACAGCTGACTAAGTAATAATTGTATTCAAGTAGACAGCCTGCAAAAACTTTGTGTGTCAGTTAGACAAATTATTAAACACCTTCCTAAGTGATAATATAACTCAATACCTCCATTTTCATTACAACATGCAGTAGCGTCGCTAAAGTGGGGCCTTGGGAGGGGTCACGTGCCCCCCTTAAAATTGGCTGTGCCCCCAAGTGCCCCCATCTGAATTTTAGATAAGATTATTTATATGCATCGTTCGAAATTGAAAAAGAAGCACATGGCATTAATGTAGCTCTTACGGAATTCGCACAACTTTACTGTAAAGGGAAGTATTCTTGTAGCTGTGCAGACTAGTTTGCGTTGCATTTACCCTTTATGGGTTGTTAGCCGAGTGGTAAAGATTTCAATTCCTTAACAATGAAAAAACAAAACAATAATTCTAGAATAATTTAAGTCTCTAGTAGGCAAGGAAGAACAAGTAATATTGTGATGCTTATCATGAACCACATTACACCATATCATAGAACTTGTATGAGATCGTGGACAAGTATTCTCGTAGACTCAAACTTGTAGACACAAAAATACAAATATACCAATGACTAAGAGTAAGGCTCTTGAAAATACTGAAATTCTGGGAGTATTATAATATGAAAACATTTCATTAAAATCAATAATCAATCTACGTAACGTTATAACACGAAGAATGTACAAATCCACCAAGGTCAAACTGAGAAGTTAAAAAATTGATACTATTCATATTGTGATAAATATTTCAAAAATTTCCAGTGCAGAAGCAATTTTGAGGGCCATTTCTCTAGCGGATGACGTGGTACAAATTTTGTGCCCCTCCCCCCCTCGCAAAATCCCTGCGACGCCACTACCAAAATGTAGCCAAATGCCTAAATGCAGGAAAACTAAAATGTCCAATTGCGTTGTTTTCAACTGCCATCCTCGATATTCATTTACACGTACAAGTAAAACTGTAACATTACATAGCTATGTTTGATCTTCAACACTTTTAGTTGTCTAAAAACCCTAATTAAAGAACCAATAATATTAACAATTTTATGACTCTTAGATGCAGTCAAGGGAAGAAATCAATAACTCCTCTCTGCAGAAAGTACTTACAGATGTTGAAAAGAAACTTGTTGATCTTTTTATCCAAGAATGGAACAATCATTACAAACAATCTCTTGGAAAATGGGAAAATAGCAACGTCAGTGGTCAGAAATTGTTCAACATTGAAAGATCAAAAAAAATATTTCGTGATGAAAAAATATTGTCAAAACTTAAAGATGGTGACACAAGTAAGTGGGATTGCACGACAATATGTAAAGCAATATTGTTTACCCACTCTATTGGAACAAACATTAATGATAAAGTTAGAGCTGCTGTGGACAAACTTCGTGATGTAAGAAACAAATTAATCCATGAACATAAAGGAGAAGTTTCTGATTCGAAATTTCATACAATGGTTTGTGATATTGAAAACTCATTTCAAGATCTAGGATTTTCATTCACTGAAATTATCAAAATAAAAAGTGAACGAAACATATTTTATTCTTTTCAAGTACTTCCTTGCAAATCAAATCACGATGTGGTTAAACGTACAGAGTTACTTAATCAAATCACAGCAGATCTCAATAACTTGCGCAGTACTAACAATAATGAACTAACATATTACTATATTTCTGGTAATCCTGGCAGTGGTAAATCTCAATTAGCTAGACAAATTTGTGAAGAAATGTATAACTCGTTTGACTGGGAAAAGAATACAACATTTGTGATGACACTCGAAGGAAAAGATATCGACTCTCTTTTAAAAACTTATGCTGAACTTTATCAACGATTAAGCAATGATAAAACTGTCATTGAAAATATTTTAAAAGAAGCAAAAAGCAGCGAAGACAAAATCAAAGATTTTCAATTATTGCTGACACAACAACTGAAATCTTGGCAAACATGGTGGATTGTTGTAGATAACGTGGTTGAACTTCATAAAATTTATCCATTATTACCTCAAGTTGGTGATCATAATTGGAAAAATGGACAAATTGTGGTAACTGTTCAAAATACAGATGCTATACCACCAGATGGAAATCTAAATAAACACATTTCAGTTAGTCATGGTATGAACTATGAAGAATGTCGAGAACTTCTATCTGTCTTTTCTGACATTCATAATAAAGATGAAAATTTTTTAAAGGATTTATCACACAAATTAGATCATCAACCGTTGTTCCTGGCAAATGCTGCTTACTACGTAGGTGATGTAAATAGTGCAAATCCGACATTCACCTGGGAGGAATATTTGTATAAGTTGAATGAAGGAAAGCGGAAGAAAATGGATGGTAATTTTCAAAAAGTAAATTCAGCTTACTTAGGAATGAAAACTGTTATGTTAGCAGTACAAAAAAATGCCAAAGAATCCATCTTGTTGGAACATGTTTTTAAACTTTTCTCAATAATATCTTTCGATCCCTTACCACAAGATGTTATAATACAATTCATTAAAAGCATTGATCCACAAATATCAGCAGAAGATGTCTGTCTTCAATTAAAGCATTGTTCTTTATTCCTTCAAACGGAAAACAACGACATCCGCCTGCACAGCGTTGTACACGAAGCCATCATAAATTATTCATCGCAGACCTTTGGCTGTAAACAAAACGAAAATAATTCTAAAAAGTCTGCAACTGATCTTGCCTGTCAAGTTGCTTGGGCTCTAAATCATTTTGAAGACAAAGAAGATGAAATCAAAATAATTCCATATCTAAGTAAATTCATAACAAATTCATCATTTCAACATTTCCTAAATAATTTGATCGATGTAAAATCATCAAAACAAAAACTTGATGAAAGAAATTGGAAACTTGCCAAATATTTTGTAGATGTTTTAGAAAGATTTTTCAACTATAAACTTGCAACTAAAGTACTTTATGAAATTACAGAAATTCAAACAAAAGTGTTAGGTGTTGATCATATTGATGTTTCATCTTCGTACAACGAGCTGGGTGTATTGCTTTGGAAGAATGGAGATATGAAAATGCTAAAGATTTTCTCGAGCGAGCAATAGGAATTCAAACAAAAGCATTTGGACCTGACCATGTTATTGCGCCAACGTACAACAATCTGGGTTTGGTTTACAGACTTATGGGAGAGTACGAAAAAGCAAAAGATTTTATGAACGAGCGATGAAAATTAAAACTAAAACATTTGGACCTGACCATGTTAATATTGCGACAACGTACAACAATCTGGGTTTGGTTTACTATAATATGGGAGAGTACGAAAAAGCAAAAGATTTTTATGAACGAGCGATAGAAATTCAAACAAAAGCATTTGGACCTGACCATGTTAATATTGCGACAATGTACAACAATCTGGGTTCGGTTTACAGTAAAATGGGAGAGTACGAAAAAGCAAAAGATTTTTATGAACGAGCGATAGAAATTGAAATAAAGCATTTGGACCTGACCATGTTAATATTGCGACAACGTACAACAATCTGGGTTCGGTTTACGATGATATGGGAGAGTACGAAAAAAAAACTTTTATGAACGAGCGATAAAATTGAAACAAAAGCATTTGGACCTGACCATGTTAATATTGCGACAACGTACAACAATCTGGGTTTTGTTTACAATAAAATGGGAGAGTACGAAAAAGCAAAAGATTTTTATGAACGAGCGATAGAAATTAAAACGAAAGCATTTGGACCTGACCATGTTAATATTGCGGTAACGTACAACAATCTGGGTTTGGTTTACATTAAAATGGGAGAGTACGAAAAAGCAAAAGATTTTTATGAACGAGCGTTAGAAATTGAAACGAAAGCATTTGGACCTGAGCATGTTAATATTGCGGTAACGTACAACAATCTGGGTTCAGTTTACATTAAAATGGGAGAGTACGAAAAAGCAAAAGATTTTTATGAACGAGCGATAGAAATTGAAACGAAAGCATTTGGACCTGAAAATGTTAATATTGCGACAGCGTACAACAATCTGGGTTCGGTTTACAAACATATGGGAGAGTACGAAAAAGCAAAAGATTTTTATGAACTAGCGATGAAAATTGAAACAAAGGCGTTTGGACCTGACCATGTTAATATTGCGACAACGTATAACAATCTGGGTTTGGTTTACAATGATATGGGAGAGTACGAAAAAGCAAAAGATTTTTATGAACGAGCAATGAAAACTAAAACAAAAACATTTGGACCTGACCATGTTAATATTGTGTCAACGTACAGCAATCTGGGTTTGGTTTACAGTAAAATGGGAGAGTACGAAAAAGCAAAAGATTTTTATGAACGAGCGATAGAAATTGAAACGAAAGCATTTGGACCTGAACATGTTAATATTGCGACAACGTACAACAATCTGGGTTCGGTTTACATTAAAATGAGAGAGTACGAAAAAGCAAAAGATTTTTATAAACGAGCGATGAAAATTGAAACAAAAGCATTTGGACCTGACCATGTTAATATTGCGTCAACTTACAGCAATCTGGGTTTGGTTTACATTAAAATGGGAGAGTACGAAAAAGCAAAAGATTTTTATGAACGAGCGATAGAAATTGAAACGAAAGCATTTGGACCTGAACATGTTAATATTGCGACAACGTACAACAACTGTTGGTGTTCATGTTGACTGACGTTTCGACAACCTTAGCAGTAGTCATGTTCAGAGTCAAATGATAAGTAAATGTTAGGTTAGCCGTGTTTCTTAAAACAAGTGCTAAGGAAGTCCAATACAATATCTACAAACATACGTACGTAGTACTAGAACAAATCATTACTTTATAATAAATAATACCACGTATGAATATGTTGTTTTGGTAGAAAACATCGTTCTGGAGGAGTATCTGACTTGAGATTAATGCCAAGATCTTGTGGAATGTGAAGATATGATCTTCCTTGATAGTCATATGCATCTTTAACTGAAAAATAATTACATTTGGTAAAGTTTAGGAAACTACAAGAAAGTATAAAAATTTTAACTTACTGTGTAATGTGGATTTCTCTTCTGAAGGTTTCATATCAACTTTCTTTGATTTGTTTTTCTTCGATAATTCATACTCCTCAAGGATTGTTGACTCTTCCTGTATTCACCAAGGTAAAAAGTCAGAAAAATAAATGTTTGATTTGAAAAATATCTTCATAAAACTCTTTATTTGGGTATCTGAAATACCTCAGATGGTTTAGCAATAGTTTCTTCATCAACAAACTTACTCCATGGTCCTAAAGAATAACAGAGAATAAGAGATATTAGGACAACCTTTCAAAAGTTATGATTATTGTAGTAGTCATACCCTTGTATCCATCAGCCACACCAGGATATCCCCTATCATCTCTCTACCTCTTATTTCCCGCCGGCTGTTTTGTAGCTTCAAACACAGTCAATCCCTTGCTATCCTTTGCTTTCTCAACATCCCCAACAAATCTTAATAGATAACAATTGATATAAACATAAAACATTACCAAGCGTATTTACTAATAATTAAGAGCCATGTACTACATTATGTTTTTAAGGTAATTTCATGACAAAGCACATTCATCATATTCCACTCAAATAAACATTTATCAGCTTGAATCATTTCAAAGTAATTGAGTGATATAATACTTTAGCATTATTCTATTTCAGATTTGATGCATTCACTGAGGAACATGTTTGATGTAGGAGTGTTTGATACCCTCTACATATTGTGAATTATGTATAAAAAGTTAGTCCAGAAACTAATAAAGGATGAAAAAGTTGGTTTGCATTGGGTTTTAGTATCAATCTACACTACAACAAATCATCCCCACAATGTAAAACACATAAAAATTGTGGAGAGATGTGCGTTCCTGCACTAACATGACTATCGTTGAAGATGTATGCTATATCATAGTTATGCTATAAGCACATTGTAACAATATTATATACATATATTGTAACTAACTTCTCTTCAATGTGAGCTGTGTCATCACTTGGATCTAATGCATAACCTGTGATTTATTAAAAATAAAAAGATCACACATAACTCATTAACAAATACATTTTTTCTCAAACTATGCTTGCTTTTGCTCTTACCGTAACTTGAGAATGTTTTTAGTTGATTATCAAATTGAAATTTACTGATATGAGCTGGCTCAACATAGCCAGACAACATATTTTTATGTGCTCTTTGCTGCTTCGTTTTAAATGGATTTGTGGTCCAACCTAAAATAGTAGACTTCTTCAAAATCATGATTTTGTCCATGTGCATGTAAATGGTGACAATGATTAAATTATTAACGTACCGAAGCAGAAAAGAGTTCGTCATACTTTGCATTAAATGTAACTTCTTTCATTGAAGGATCGATGTGTCTTCTCCAATCAATTCCTTCCTTTAAAGCATAGCAAATCGTATCACAGATTTAACCTTGGTGTTGGTAGTTGCCTAGTTAGGACTTTGGATAAAAACTATTACACTTTACCTTAGCATCAACAATTGGCGCACTGCTTAAAAGAAACTTAGATTTTAGAGCATCCATATTGACAGTTCTCTGGATTGACTTTTCATCTTCTTTATATTTAACATTATTACTTCTCTCTTCATCAGAAGAATCACTTTGATAAGACACCAATGATTTGGGACTTGCAGCTAAATCGAGAGATCAGAGCACAGAAACCATATTGAAATTTGTCACGTGAAACGTGAACTGAAAGATAAATATTAAATGTCACCATCGTTACGCGCGCGAATTGTTTTATCGTCTTGCCGCGAAATACGATTTTACCCACTTTAACTTTTTTGTAAAAAAACATCATCGTATGCGCATTGTCAACTTTCTTGTTCTCCTTCCATTGTATTGCTCTATAATAAAGCTAAATATCTTAACGTTTTAAGTTCTTTATTATTCGTGAAAAGCGGTATGTGGAATAACAATACGAAGGTATTGCAAGTTTAATTGCTTCATCACACTAAGCATATGCACATACATTAACTGAATTGCAAACACTACTTTCGCTGCAGAGTAAGTCAGAATACATGAAACTACTTGACAACTGCCGTATTGGCAATATTTTGGAAATAATTGGTAATAATTATAACAATATCAGCAGTGTTGTTATTATAGTATTTTAAATTTATAATAAGCTACTAAGCATAAACATATTCTGATTTACCCCGGAACTTCCACTGCATTGCACTACTTGCAAATTTTATGCAGTTATTTAGGTTATTTAGTTCAGACCTTTGTAGTTCAATGGGGATGGGGGTGCAAGGCAACATGAATATAGGCCCTGACATGACATAGGATTAAAGTCTTGCATTGAAAATTCATAATATAGAAGTGGAAATTAGTTTTGTTAATTATATGTACATAATTTATTTGGAGGTTTTGTCTCTCAAAAAAGCTTCAACAAAGATAGAGCCCGTACTGAGCAAGCTAACTAGAGGTCAGGCTTTTGAGTCTTTGTTGCAAAAGGTTTACCAAAGGTGTAAATTGCAGTACAGATGATGATTCAGTTGTTGATCCTTGCCATGTAACATCTATGCCAAGTATGGACCAGTTGCAACAATGGAGAAAAATAGTTGAAGCATCAAGTACAAGCAAAGGAGCATGTATCAACACATCACAAGGAAGGTTAGATATCAATTGCATCACCAATCTGCAGAAATTTCACACCTTAAAAAGCATACAAGTAGAAGTCGAAGAGGAAATTGCCTGGTTTTCACAACCATTGAACAAACCAGACACGGTGGTGGAACATCCATCAGCTGCTTCAATTACAGCCTTTCAGAAGCTTTTGTACAGAACCCCATATAGTGAGATTATGAAAGAACGAGGAATGTCATCCAATGAGATGTCCAGGTTATGTGTTGACAGAACGGTGTCAAGTGACCACATATGCTGGTTGACAACAAACCTAAACCAAAAGAAAAAAGATACATATTATGTGTACCTCAATGGAACAAAACCACCCACAACAGACCAACACCATGCTAAATATGAATTAATTTCAAAATTCTGTTTTGCCATAAATGTTGGTAAAAAAAGCAATGGCAACACATTCCTTGGAGATGATTTGCACCCGAAACCATTGGGTACTTTGCTATGTAGACACTAATGACAAAACATTACATATGGGGATTCATTAGGCTGGCAATTTCGAACACTCTTCTACACATTTTAGATAAATTCATCAAGGCACATAATATTTGCGACAGCATAGCCAACTACTCAGTAACAATGACACATGATCCTGATAGCAGATGCCAGGTTAGAAGAGGACACAAGTGCACAGACAATTGTTCGAAAGCGTATCCATTCCAAACATGTAGCAATGTTTGTGGCGTGGTTGTAATGATTATGATGGCTATATCAAGCTATAACTATGCCTTTTTCAAGAGCATGCTATCATTTTCTAAGCCAACCACAAAGAATATTCCATCAATATACCAAAGCAATCCCACACATTACAGCGCATACTTACGGATTGTACTTGGATGTTGGATCTCAGATAATGTTGTTAACCTGGCATATGTATTACCACAGTTTTGGAATACACTACAAAAAGGGATTTTACCAGAAAATGAAAACACAGCAACAACTTGTAAAATTTCCAATAAATAGAGCATCAAGAGACTCAAAGTCACACCATCAGTCTTCAATAAAATGGTGAAGGATAAAATCATGCAATGTATTTGAGTTCAATGATGCAAATGATGCAGTCAAAAAGGTGTTTGAGATAGCATTGCTAATGTTCTTTTACTAAATTGTCATTGTTAAACAAGTAATCTGAATATACTCACTTTGGGACAAGTAGGACAGATATTTCCTTCATCAAGCTCAGGAATAACACAGCTCAACATGTTTAGTTTATGTCTGTAAATTCTGAAAAAAACAATGACACAAAGAAAGCAATTATGCACTCTTAAACAAATGACATAAACAAAATACAGTGCAAGACAGTAATACTTGAGGAAAAATCCTTTCCCATCATAAACTTTAGCATTTTGATTTCCTCCAATTAAATACATCTCTTAAGATGAGATTCTTAGGCTATAAAATTGACTGCAACTTTCCCAGCAATTCATATGAGTACAGCAGTGCAATAAATCAGTGACCTACATGCAGTTACCTATATTCTTCAAAAGCATCTATAATGACAGGATACATTTTGGTGTTGCATAAGAAGAGAATATGTGGTTATGATTAAACTCTTCAAATGACTGACAAATGCTTTTATTGATGCCTGGCATTCCATCTGCACAGAATGAATCAATTCAAAAACTCAATTGCAAATGCAATTCTTGGTTTTGTAGGTGTTCCACCCCAAAGGCCAAATTGCAGAAGTTGAACAAACTCTCGAGAGCATGAGCAAAACTGTACCTCAACAGTACAAAATGCCTAAAATTGAAAAAGATCCAAAATTATAATTGTGTTGAACCATCCCAGCTAAAATGAAAAACTTTTGCAGCACATTTTACATATAACATACCTTTAACATCAACAACAGAAACACTTCTTTTGTGACAAGCTGTTTGGCATGAACAATCATACACCAGCATGTTCATGAGTTTATATGGCCAAAACATGCCATCCTACAAAGCAATGAATAACCTCGTAGAAATTAGTTGTAATCAATCCCCTTTCTTGCATTCATAAAAAATATTAGATTAGTACTTCGTAGCATGTTTCACAATGTAAACTCTCAATTTATTTTTGCATTTTTTGTTGCAAGTGTTGAGAGAGTGAACTGTAAACACTTTTATAATATCTAGCTCATAAAGATTACCTTAAATATTTCAACATGATGACAAATATTTACGGTTGTGTGCATCTTTAACATACAGTTCTCACAATACTTTGCCATTGGACCACAATCGCTGCACCTAAACTTTGCTTCATTATCACAATGAATACACTTCAGATTGCTCCAATTTTTGCCAGCAAACTGAAATGTATTCTTTATAATTGAATGTCACAAATTTTCCCATGCTTTTTGTCTTCTTTCAACTTTCTGGTAATAAGAAGATGATTCTTCACAATCAAGGTGAACATCACTTTCAAGATCACTGTTATCTTGTTCCATTCCCAGTTCATGGCCTTCCAATGCACCACAATTATCAGGACTGTTAAAAGAACAGCTTCATCTATGATCCTCAGTAACCAATTCTGACAAATGCACCTCCTCTCTCTCAACATGGCCATCCTCATCATGATATGTGACAGCTACAGTTGCTTTAAACCTTTTATTGCTCCTACAAAATTATCATAAAAATCTATAAAATGAAAATAAATGTTGAAAAGTCTAACAGCTATAAGGCCGTTATTTGGTGTACCTTGGCATCTTTAAAAATTACCAGCAAGAAAATCACAAATGAGAAAATATTATCGATATTACCAATGACACAATAACATAAGTTAAACGACCAAAGTACAACGTATGTATCTCCCAAGACTATCTGCCGACGTTTTGTACCCGTACTTTACCGGCTTTTAGCCATGTCTCATAAGACGAATGGGGGTGATATGTTTGGTTAGTAAAACGAAAGGGGTTTTTCTTCCGGTATATTGTAGGAGCCTTTTTCCTAGGGGTAGGGTAACATATCTCACGTGACCGGAAACGTAAATCATTTAAATTATTCCACAGAATCGACAAGAACGCCGCTCCTGAGATATAATGTAGTTGGTTGTGTCTTGTAATCTTTTTGAATTTGTGAAGGTATGTTGATTTTAAACTTTACCTTTCGTTGTTATATTGTATTTTGATTTTGTGATTTAATGTTTCATGTCCATTTATCGATTATTTTGTTTTTCTGTAAATTATTCTACTTCGCTCTATGTACGTATGTAAATGTTTTATAAAGATAAATTTGTTGATTTTGGTGAGATTTGGAGCTAGCTCGAATCAAGTTTGGAAAATCAACTTGTTAACTTTCATATATCTTTATATAATAATAAAAAGAAATAAATTTCTACTATATAATAGTAATGTTCTACATCGATACACATCATGTGCATGGTCACGAGGTAGTAGAGGAAATATGATATTCATGGATAATTTCGTAAAAGCACTATTGCTAATGCGCATTTAATATACACGACAAGTTTTTTTAAAATAGACATGTTTCGACATCTCATGATGCCATCTTCAGTGAAATAATAAGTGATACAGGGTTTATATAAAAGTAATATGATACATAAATTACAATAATAAAAAGGAAATAAGATATATTAATGGTGAGCGTCCGAGCGTATTATAAACTAAATATTGTATTGAATTTATAATACGTTCGGACGCTCCCTATTAGTTTATCTTATTTCGTTTTATTGTTGTAATTTATGTATCATATTACTTTTATATAAATCTTGTATCACTTATTATTTCACTCATACTGAAGATGGCATCATGAGATGTCGAAACATGTCTATTTTAAAAAAACTTGTCGTGTATAATGTGCTTTATGAAACGTGTAATAAAAATTAATGCCCAACATAAAGTTTTGATTAGAGCCATAGAAATAGACCAAAAATATAGTAAAATTGAATTTATTGTAACGTTTCGTCTTTACTCAAGACATCTTCAGACAAATAATATATAGGATGTTAAGACAAGATATTATATTTACAAAAAGGTGTTAAATTACTGGTAAAGGAGGCGGGGTCAAATGGATTATATGATAAGGAAGTTAGGAAGTAAAATAAAGAGAAATTAAAAGAGGTTAAGTGGAATGGAGTTTCCTTGCACGTTAATTAAAAGCTTGTATTTATTGATTAGAAGGCTCTCATGAATGGAGAGTTCACAAGAATCGTTAGAAGAGGAGATTACTTTAAAGTCGTCTAAGTTGGGGGTGTTTTCAGTTGCGTTAATGTGAGCAAAGATGCTTGATAAAGCAGGGTGGGAAACTTGGTTGCCTGTAAGGGGGGATATTCCCAAGTGCTCCGAAAATCTGGTGTGTAGATGACGTGTGGTCACCGCATCTTCAACCTTTGTTCTACTTACGAAAATTTTCATACACAACTCGAATTTACCAGAAAGTCACTCACCAAAAACGGTTTTCCTTCACGTATAATTGACCAAATCACACGTCGCTTTCTTAACAACACCTTTGCCCCTAAACCACCTGTCTTGACTGCTCACAAAATGCCTATCTATTTCTGTCTTCCTTTCACCGGCATACACTCCCTTCAAATTCGCACACAAATCAATAGCCTTTGTGCTGCAGCCCTCCCACACATATCCATTAAATTTGTTTTCCGCCCTTCTCAACGTATCTCTTCTTTCTTCCCCTTTAAGGACAAAATTCCCAAACCTCTGAGATCTGGTGTAGTCTATTTATTCAAGTGTCGAAGCTGCAACGCCTCGTATGTGGGTCAAACCACACGTCATCTACACACCAGATTTTCGGAACACTTGAGAATATCCCCCCTTACAGGCAACCAAGTTTCTCACCCTGCATCATCAAGCATTCTTGCTCACATTAACGCAACTGGACACACCCCCAACTTAGACGACTTTAAAATAATCTCCTCTTCCAACGATACATATGAACTCTCCATTCATGAAAGCCTTCTAATCAGTAAATACAAGCCTTTACTTAACGTGCAAGGAAACTCCATTCAACTTAACCTCTTTTAATTTCTCTTTATTTTACTTCCTAACTTCCTTATCATATAATCCATTTGACACCGCCTCCTTTAGTAGTAATTTAACACCTTCTTGTAAATATAATATCTTGTCTTAACATCCTATTTATTATTTGTCTGAAGATGTCTTGAGTAAAGACTAAACGTTACAATAAATTCAATTTTACAATATTTTTGGTCTATTTCTATGGCTCTAATCAGAACTTTATGTGGGGCATTAATTTTTATTACACGAATTTGATTTCCAATACACATTTAATATAAACGACAACTTTTTTGAAAATAGACATGTTTCGACATCTCATGATGCCATCTTCAGTATAAAAGTAAGGTTTATATAAAAGTAATATGATACTTAAATTACAACAATAAAAAGGAAATAAGATAAATTAATGAGGAGCGTCCGAGCGTATTATAAACTAAATATTGTATTGAATTTAAAAACTTGAACATTGAGGTCAGGGTTAGTTTTGTTAATGTGGAGTGCTTCTCTGATTTTAAGGGTGAATGAAGTGTCGGCAGTGTCGATGATTTTAAAGCAAGAGGGTGAATAGTGGTTTCACACCACTTTCATACAAAACCGTACTTATACGCACACTAATCGACAGAGCATACAAACTTAACAATACGAACAATGGCTTTCAACGAGACATAAAAAACATCACATGCACTTTTTTACGAAACTCTTTCCCACTACACTTTATTAACAGAACTGTAAAACGATATCTCGACAACAAACAAAGCAACAACCTAAAACTAGACACCGAAACTCCTGACACGACGATCACAACCAAGACAAATGAAAATTCCAAAATAACAACTCTATACTTCAAACTACCATACATCGGACATTACTCAAGACACACACAACGCAGACTTACAAACATGAAACGCTTCTGTACAGATATTGACATTCGACTAATTTTCACATCATTCAAAATCAAAAACTTTTTCTCATTCAAAGACCCAATCCCTGATTCAATTAAATCTATGGTGGTATATGAATTTGATTGCGCGGGATGTAATTCCCGATACATTGGCGAAACTTCTCGCCATTTATCCACCAGAATCGGGAACATAACCACAACAAACAAAAACTCTCATATCTACCGACACCTTCTTAAATCTCACTCATGTAAAACCAACTATTCACTCTCTTGCTTTAAAATCGTCAACACTGCTGACACCTCATTCACCCTTAAAATCAAAGAAGCACTCCAAATTAACAAAACTAACCCTGACCTTAATGTTCAAGTTTTTAAATTCAATACAATATTTAGTTTATAATACTCTCGGACGCTCATCATTATATTATCTTATTTCCTTTTTATTGTTCTAATTTATGTATCATATTACTTTTATATAAACCTTGTATCACTTATCATGAGATGTCGAAACATGTCTATTTTAAAAAAACTTGTCGTGTATATTAAATGCTCATATTCATGGTCATGTGACATGTGGGATACTTCATATAACATTAACATAATTTATGATCACATCACAGAATAGATATCTTAACAGAAGGTCCACTTGTGTAGGAACCTTTGATGTTTTTGTCTACCACTACCAACGTATAAAGAGACACTATTGGCAAACCAAGTATCAAATATAAGAAGAGTTCATTTCTACAGTAAAATATAAACAGGAAAAAGCAGCACTAGCATCAAACTTTGTATTTTCACCAATCCAAGACAATAACCAGAACGTTAATTTGGGGAGGGGGGAGGAGGAGTGAAAAATGTTTACAAAGGAAATTATTCGCTATTATTTTCTGTGTCTCAGGCTAAATTTTCCAACGAGATGCATAAATATTCAGTGGTTTATCTCCGTAGCAAATATCTTTGAACAAATTCATGCAATAAAAAATTCGTTGCTTAATGATAGGATGTCAAACACAAAATTAAATCAAGGCAAACTTTTACAGTTTTACCACAGAATTCAAAAACTTCACGATTTTTTATGAGCAGGATGAACAGTACGACATCTTCCAACTTTATTCGTTTTCAAAAACAATCGCTATAAGGACAGCAAACTAATAAATAATGCAACATGCATGATTCTGACCGTAATGGAGGGTGATTCTGAACAGAATAGTGGAAATGGCGATCCATTATGATCCATTATGATCCATTGAAACTTTAAAACCTTTCACATTTGTTCTATAAGAAATAAATGTTAATAAATGTGTTATTTACGTGAGATTAAAAAATCACATATTAAACAATTATGGATTCCACGTAAAGGCTGTGAAATTATGAAGAAAAAACTCCTCACATGCTAGACATGTAACAAAGGGCAAGAAACACATAGGTTTATCCTATTCTATTTTAGTATCTCTTCCTCTACTAACATGTCTCTTAAAGGACTTAACACGATTTACAGTTAAGAAATAAAGATTCCACAGATGCACTCTACATTGAAATGACGTCTGGCAAAGTAAAAGTTTGTAAAAACTTTTATCATCCATCTGAAAATGAAAATTGTCGAAAATTTGAATTATAAAAAGTCTTAAATAAAAATAAGTTTTGAAACTATACATATCGTATTTAATCAGAAAATACTGAAAATTCCCTACATCTCCATCGTTGTTGTATAAAGATTTCGAGACTAATTAGCAACTGCTTCAGCTTCTGGTTAAAATTGTTTATAGTATTTATACAATAAAATTGTTGAGGAATTGTTTGGTTGGTAAAAGGAAAGGGGTTTTTCTTCCGGTATATTGTAGGAGCCTTTTTCGTAGGGGTAGGGGTAACATATATCACGTGACCCGAAACGTAAATCATTTAAATTATTCCACAGAATCGACTAGAACGCCGCACCTGAGATATCATGTAGTCGGTTGCGTCGTTTTTAATCTTTCTGAAATTGTGAAGGTATGTTGATTTTAAAGTTTACTCGCCTTTATGTAATAGTGTATTTTAACCTTATGATTTAATGTTTCGTTTCCATGTGTCAATTGTTTTGTTTTGATGTCACGAATATTGTAGTTAAATATAACTTATAAATTAGTGCCACGTATGTTTTATATGGATAAATTTTCTTCATTTTGGTGGGATTTTCAAACACAAATTA